TATACTATCCCACATTTTATTTATTGATCATTATCTCTCATGCACATTTTTTGGGTAGTCGTCAATTTTCATTCATAATTAGCTGCTTAATTTCACAGGCCAATGAATTGTTGAGCCATTTTTGAATATAAACACTGAAAGGCGGCAGTTTGTTTATCCCATTAGTTTGTTAATTTAGTTTTGATCTACTCCACTCTCAAATGTCCTATTTTGTAGATATCACAGTACTCCTTATCCAGTGAATTGTGAATACTCGGTAATTTGATAGAACAACACCATTCAGCTGGATTAATTGTAACTCTCACGCCATTGAAGGTAGGTAAATGATATATTCTTCTCATATTCAATACTAAAGGTATTTGTATTCCACATAGGCTATACCTATAACCTTCAATGGTTCTTAATGGGACTGATTTGATCAGACCATTGAAATTGTGGTTCAAATTTAGTTAATTCACATAATTTCTATTCCGTTAATTATAATGAACGATCATAAGCTGGCCAAATGCCCTTGTAGAATAAAAAATTTTAACGTTATAATGATCTAAACGTCACACTAAGATTATGAATTTCCCCAGCCTGTATTTCAGTTATAGGTGATTTGATTTATAGTTTTATCATTTTTCACAATTGCCATTACTAAACTATCATATCAAATTATTACTCCATTATCACATTTGAGACTGAACGAATATTTTTGTGACAATTTTCCAGAATCATTAACACAGATCCTGTCATCATGTCATCACTTATTGAGGACATTCAAAACTTATATGATGTATCTAATGCACCTAAGTTTTTAAAATTCAGGTTCTTGATCATTGATTTGAAGCCGAATTGTTTTTATGCTTTAGACTTAATTATGCTGTTTGACTCGAGGTCCATCAGATTCATTTGGATAAAATAATAAAGGGATCATTATAACATCTTTTATCAAGTGAGCAATTATTAATCTTTAATGATTGGTTTAATTCATCTTAAACAAACAATATTATATCTCAAATCGACATCACCCATAAGCAAGATCTCCACAATTTAAAGCAGCTAATTATTCCAGTATAATATCTTGAGTATAGTTTTTTTCGAAAATAGAGACATTGGTAACTGTTATTCTCTTTTAATCTCTCCAATTTGGGGATATCCAGGTTCTGAATAATTGAATTGATTCGATAGCTAATTTAAAAATAGAAACATGTTTTCTTCATATTGTATATGTTTGAATTCTTATATCTGTTGTCTTTCTCTCATCTTTTAGTTTGATCTTTGATCTGTTCTTTAATGAATTATTGGAAGTTTGATTCCTCTATACCTTGCTATGAACTAAAATCATTAATCATTTTTTCCAAACAATTGATTCAATATAATCTTAATTTTTATTTAAGAGTTTAAGATCAAAATTTCACTTTTAGCACACACTATAAATAATTGTATCTCCTTTGCAATTGAACAAAACACATTAAGACGATCTTTTGAAATGATAGAATTTTGAACTTTTTAGAAGCGTAAAGAGTGAATAGCCTACTTTTTGAAAAACGAGAATTTGGTATTGGTAGAACTTCATTGTTTTGAAATTATTTGAAAGTAACCGCATTAACAATATCTATTATGGTAGAATAAATGATTGAATTTTGAGAATATGTGTAATTTGATTCCATACTTCATTATCAGGAAATGTCCTTTAAAGACAGAAATTATCTTCTGAAATGTTTGATCTCTCATGCTTTTGCAATATGATGATATCGGATTCACAGAAGAGTGTTCAAATTAAGTACCAGCTACCAGCAGTAAATATGATGAAGGATATCACAAAAGAAGCTTCTGATGTCCTTTTCCAAATCAATACCCAGTCATACAAGTAGTCATGTTTTATAATTTGTAGAGAGAGAGCTTGAATCTTTGAACAGCACCAGTTTGATATTATAGTTATATCCAAAGACCAATATTCAATATGGGTTGGATTAATTCTGTAATAACAACGTCAAATATAAGACCAGGTGATCAAGAGTGATGTTTTCAAGTATTTTCAAGCGTGTAAAAAACCATTGTTCTAAATTGGATAGACCTTTAGAGCTTTTATTGATCAGTTATCATTAATGGAATTAAATATATAGAGATTAAATAGTTGAAATAAGCGTATAGTCGATTTTGTTATATCAAAGATTACATAAGCGCTGATTCAGCAAAAGTTTTAGAATTCGGTAAAAAGGGCTTTTGGAAACATCAGAACTCGTCCTTGTTAGCTCAGTTGGTAGAGCGTTCGGCTTTTACAGTCAAACTAGGGAACATTCATTTCTTAGCGGAAGTTAACCGAAATGTCGGGGGTTCGAGCCCCCCATGAGGAGTTCTATTTTTTTGCAACTTTTTTGTTGTGGCAGCATTTTTTTTTTTGAATTTTCTTTTAAAGTTGCAGTTTTTGCGTAAAACAACTTGCTTTGGAGGCGAAATGAAGATTTTTATTTAAGGTGCTGATAATCCTTAAGTGATAGTAGACGATCTTGATCAAATCTAGGATAAAGAATAAAGCAATAGAACGAAATATAAAACTTCACTTAACTAGTATGAATTCAGCAAGGGCCGATCGAAGTGTATGTTGGGTTCCAAGACTGAACAACACCTTTCTGATAGTTACAACTTACCTTCGAACGGATGAGAGCATAACCGACTACTGCAACTTTGATGATCTGAAGGTATATATGATGATGAAATCTGCAAGTTGTATTAAACATAGTATGATTCTATGGGTTTCAGACGTTAGTCAAGGGGTTCACTTAGACGTTACATATAGCGCTATCGGCTGTATCTTATTAGCCGTTCAGCTGTGATTATATGGTTGGAATATTTGTGGACGACGTAAGTAGGTTTAAAGTTCTGTATACGTCGTTGTCGTAGTTGTACTTAAGTATTATTATAGGCGACTTATATTGACCAACCATGATATTGGTTAACTAGTTAATATAGGTAGTACTACATGTATATAGTTGATTTTGCGACGTTAAATAATATATCATAAAGCGCCGCCGCTATACGTACTAAATTGGTTTAACATGAGTATTATATATATACGACAAAAGTTAAAGGTTACATACATGCTATATGAATCTCGCCTCTTTAAAAATCAAAAGTTACTTTTGATGGACTGATTAATATGAAGAACTTACATCTTCCAGATTTCAAACGGCAAATGCTCTTAAAATATCACGGTTTTCCAACATCATAGAGTTGATCTTTACTTCTAGCTACCTATACTTACCTTGAAATGAACTTTTGGCTATTGAATTTAACGTCTGTTTTGCGGTGTACGCGTTGAACCGGTAACTTACCAAAAACCTAAAAACTTGAACACTCTATGAATCATGTCCTAACATGCCATAATATATATGAGATCACTAATACTAATAGTATAACTTTGTGTAACATCATGACTTGGAACGATGGCTTAGATGAACTCGAGGTATTCAACGATTCAACAATTTGGTGAAACCTTTATGTACCTGACCAGAATCTGTGGGTAAGGACTAAATATTTACGCCTAGAAAGCGTCGTCATTTTTGAAAATCTATATGACGTCTGGCATATAAGTTTAACACATTCCTAGAAATATTCAAAATTTTCTATATCATGGTTCCCATTTGATTATTTGTTGAATTTGAAAGAGGTGAAACCTATATCACTATTGAAGACAACGCCCTCTGATCATACCATTTCCCAACTTAAATTATCAAATCTCACCTAGGTATTAATAGCTATATAGTTGGGTATTAATAGCTTCAAGAATCAACAGGCTGGTCTAAAATTAACAGATCAAGCAGATTGTTCCTGACATCTGAGCATTTGTGTCTTTTCAAAAACTAAAGATTGTCGATCAAAATCTGGAACAAATCATATATTTCCAATCTAGCTGGATAGCTAGATAGTTCAACTCCCAACTTTGCCACATTCACAACTTCACAAGTACTACAACTGTTTTCAACTTCCCCGTCTAGGTACTCCTGAATTAGGCAGCGTTCACATTCTCAACGAGTCAACCCAGTTCCATCTTGCTGCCTTCTAGAACAGAGTTCAATCCCCGTCAGCCTTCAAACTCCAGCCTACGTGATATTATACACTCAATCGCTCCAACCGGTGCGCAAAAAAGCGAGTGTGTGTCTTTCAGATCTCAGTTTTTATTTATAAAAAAGTTGAACGCGAGGCATAAAAATAAAAACACAAATTAAAACTATTGTCAACGAAACCGATCAAGGTAGAATTAGATAAAACCACAAGAGTCTGCTCAATTCATTTCCAAACAATCATTTTCTCTGGTTCCATCAACTCACTTACCAAGGTTTTTGCCATCCCTTAATTCGTTGTGTTACAATGGCAATAGGCTCAACCCAAAAATCAAGTATTGGTTTTCTTTTATCAGGTCCACCAGCTGAAGAAACAGTTTCAATTGGTCCAAAGACAAGTATAAGGTCCACCAATGCAAAAAGAAGACAGATAATAAGACCCAAGAACCCCAAGTTTTCATTGAAATTGATTCAACAACCTTCACATGCAAAAGTTTCACCAAGGCCACCAAGCCGTGTGTTCCCTCCCTTTTCAGAACATCGTCCAATTCATCCACCACCTGTACTACAATTAAGAGTGGACGATTTTAAATTCAAGAATGATCCTGCGTTCTTAGATGATGATTTTTTAGATCGCCTTCATGATACTAGTGATCCAAGATCAAGTGAAAGAATTGAAGAATTGAAGATTATTAAAGACATGAGATCATGTAAGATACCATCTTGGGCACATTATTCAACATTTTTCGTTACTGTGAGGCTTCAAACTGTTAAAGGTCAAAATGAAAAGGTTTTGTTCAATAATAAAGCTGAGAAATCCGTTGATGACTTACTGATTGGTATAAAAGTTTGTTCAGGAATGGCCATATCATTAAGAACTTCATCTCCTGCAAATTCATTTTTAAACAAAACTTTACCAGGTGAGAAACCCAAAAGTAGTAATTATGCTATAGCTTTTGTATTTTCAGATTTATCAGTTAGAAAAATTGGTACTTTCAATTTGAAATTTGATCTTTTTGAAGTTTTTCAAGGTAAAATTTATTGGAGAAATGAACTTGTTTCAGATAATTTTACTGTTTATACACCAAAAAAATTTCCTGGATCTTTTCCTTCAACGGCCTTGACAAGTTTTCTTTATAAACATGGAGCAAGAATAAGACAAAGAAAAAGAGTTAATAATTCAAATAACAGAGATAATAATGGTTCTACAAGAAAGTTTGCAGAACTTGAAGATGATCAAGATGAAGATTCAAACTATTCAATGAGAAGGTTCAACTCATCAAGTTCAACTTTGAAGAATCCTCCAGAAAAGTTACCTAAGATTCAAGATGGTCCATTCATGCTGTATCAACAACCAGCCCAACATCAATCGTATCAAACCGTTATACAAACTCCAAGACCAGTACAATTTTATCAAATCTCTCCAATAAATTCACAATTACAACCGCCAGTTCAAATTCATAGTCAACAAAAATCTCAATCACCTCATCTACAACCTTCACCAGAACACATACAGGCACCACAACAAACCAAGTTACCCTCAGTTGGTCATTTTCATGAGCCTGTATATGTATACCCACCATCTTTGCCACAACATCAGCACCGATATCAAAGAGTTTTACCTCAACATATGGTTCCGGCTCCACCACTTCAACTTTCTCAACAACAATCTGGTGTGACCTATGCTTATCAAACTCATGATCCAAATCAAACACCTACATTAATTCAAAGAATTCCAATAACCACTGGCCCTTATTATCAACAATCGAGCTCTATGTTTACTCCTCAACATCCAATGGTTCATCAAGTTCAACAAATCCAGCCAATTCAACACCTCCCACAACATTCACATCAAGTTACAACACAACAATTATCACCAAGATCCCAACAAGGTCAAAGTGGACAGACATTATCACAAATACAACAAGTTCAAACTTCAATAACAATTCAACAACAACAGCATCAACAACAACAACCACAACGACCTCCACAACATGAAGGTAAACCTTTGATCAAACCAACACAAAGTGGTCCAACATCTAATTTACCACCACAAGTGAACGGTTATACGAATTTTAATTATGGACAACCTAATGGTCAATGAAATATTAAAGAATGAAACCCCAATTGTATTATAAAATGTAATAATATTAGGATAATATACACTCAATCTCGTTTTTCATATTATATGCTTTGATTAGTTTAACATATATGTTGTAGCATTGTAAATACAAAGGTGTGAATCAAAAAGAAATGACAACTAAAATGGTTTATATTATCTATATAACAGTATGATTAAACTAAAGTATATTAAAAATGAGTGTACTCCAAGTCCCGACTATATGATCTATATATTTATATATTAATGTTTTTTTGATATGATTTTGTATTTGAGTACTATATCTATATTTTGAAAAATTAAATATGCGTTCTTTGTATAACTATAATAAAAAAAAAGTCTGATATTATACCTTTTGTTGAGGATTAGCAGCTTCTTTTTCTTCTTGTATTTTCTTTTCTCTTTCTTGATCAGATTTTGAAGCTACACCACGATCTTTAATGAACCATGACAAGACAAAACAAGTACCAATTAATGGTGCCCAAAATGTGAAGACATTCTTTGTACAACTATTGTATAACTCTTTGATGTATAAATGTTGTTCTGAACTGACCTTTATTTGATTTAAATCAACTTTTGAGTAAACATGTTCTTTCAAATATGATTTTAAATGTGATTGAGCTGGTTCATTTATGAATTTATTTGAATTGATATCTTTTGTAAATGATGTTGCGAAAATTAATGAACTGAATGCCATACCAAATGAACCACCAAATGATCTAAGCACATTTCTAGTTGAAATGACAACTGCACGATCTTGAGGTTTTGAATGTGCTAAAGCAGCAATTAAAGTGTTTTGGAAAGTCATACCCTGACCTAACCCATTCAAGATCATAATGAATGCAATACCGACATATGGCGTATTAACTTTAACAACCCCGGATAACAAACCAAAACCTAATGTCCAGAGTGTATAACCTGCCCATAAAACTGGATTATAATGACCAGTTTTGGTGACTATTTTACCAGACATTGCAGACATGAAAGCATGTGGCAAGACAACACATAAGAAGAAACAAGCTGTGATTATTGGGGAAAGATCCTTAACAACTTCAAAATAATATGTGTAATAGTAGAATAAAGGATAATAACATAGACCAAATAAGAAACATTGAACAAAAACAATACATAAAGTTGGTGAAGTGAATAATCTAAATGGAAGCATTGGTAATTTAGCAACTTTCCATTCAATGACTAGGAATGTTAATAAACAGAATCCACCAACAGCAAACATGATGATAACTTTTGGTTCATCCCATGCGAATGTTAAACCACCACCATTGATTGGAATCAAAACTAAAATCAAACCAACTGAGCTGAATAGGAAACCCAAATAATCAATGTTCAATAATTTTTCTTTGATACTGATTGGTGAATGAGAGTTTGGTAAGTACCACCAAATTAAACCTGAACTAGCGGTGACAATTGAAAATAATGTGTAGTAATAATTTCTCCAGTTACTATGTTGTTGGAAACCTGAAGCTAAGAATGGTCCAATAGCGTTACCAATACCAATACTTGAGGTTAAATAACCTTGATATTTACCACGATCTTTTAATGTGACATGATCACTCATAATGACCATAGCTAATGAAGTAACACCACCATTTGCAATACCAGTAATACCTCTAAAAACGAAAAATTGAACATCAGTTTTAGCTAAACCACAAGCTAAATCAAAGAATCCTAACAATATGATACAGGCCAATAAAACATATTTTCTACCAAAGATATCAGCAAGACGACCATATAATAATTGGAAACAACAATTTGCAATTAATTGTGAGGTACCAGCCCAAGAAATTGTTAAATTTGCATTTAATTCATCTGCAATAGAAGGTAAAACGATAGCGATACCATTTTGATCAATAAAAGCAACCATTAAGGAAAGTGACATGGCCAGCAGCACAATCTTTAATTCTGTAGGAGCTAATAAATTATCATGGGAATCACCAAGTTTTTTACTTAATGACTGTTGTGTAGGTATTTGTTTCAATTGATTTTCATCATTATTATCCTCATTATCATCTTTCTCACCATCATCATTGTTATTATGTTTATTTTTGGTTTCTTGATCTTTCAGAAAAGGTTGAGGATCTTGTGAAGTAGGCGAAGATGTACCAGCATCTGAGGATAAAGAGTGTACACTTCTTTGACTAGTGTTGAAGTCTTCTTCTTTTCTTTTTTGTTCCTCTAATAATGTGTTATTGGTTGAAACTGACATAATATTAAAATTTTGTATCTTTCCGTGTTTCGGATTAAATATTATGTGTTTGACAGGTGCAAGTTTTTCCGACCGGGTGTATACTAATGTGGAAGCACCTCAAAATGAGTGTAGAAATTGGGGTGGGAATATGCCATTCTTTTATACACATTTAAAACTTCAAAGTGGTGTGTAACTTGAACGGTGTGTGAAGTTTGAACGGGGGTTTTTCATGTTCGTTACTGCGTTTCTAGAAGCGTACATCTACGGACAACTAGAATATTTGGAGCAAGAGATCTTTGATCTGATAAACGGTGTCAAAGATCAGACAGATGCATCAATCCTTAACCCAAGCGATTTTCCCTAATTTGAAATCTCTGATGTTCTACCAATGAATCTACCATATTCTATAACGTTATACCGGGTCTACTTGGTATATTTGTCTAATTACTACCCTTTGTTTGAAACGACATCTCGGTTTTAGGACATATCTAGGGTTCTCAGATAACCCATCAAGAATATAGATATTTGCGAGTCACTGCTAGGTTTAAACATGAGTATCTGTGTGGTATCTTAAATTATAAATTTGTCCTAGATTGTTAATTCTACATTTCGTGCATTAATTAAGTCAAGCCAATAGAAAAAGGATATCAATAGTAATATGCTCAAGAATAAATTTGATGTTAGTTAAGCAATTATAGGTCTAGTGGAACTTGCGTCGAAGCAGGTACTATATATAGGTGCGTATGTAATTTGACTTTGACATATATGTCAATCAATCTCCTGTACAGGTTGTAAAAATAATTCATAGCCTATAATAAGCCGACCCACCAATGGTATAACTTATATAATTTATTACAAAAACGACGTAGTGTAAACCTGAACCATAATTATAGGTGATTAACAATGCAGAAACTACTACAAGACATCGAATTGAAGTCAACAATTACTGAGCAACGTCCCTGCTTTGATTATGAATCTATTATATGCACATTCAATCCATCCTGAATGCTACGATATATCTCCATTATAGCCTACATACTATTAGACAAATATACAATTGTAATTTGCTAATGCTAGAATATTTAGACCACGAGGATCAGATAACGAAAGAATGAGTTACGCTTAACTCTGCTCAGTGTACGTGTTATCTTGATTAATGCCAAGCTAGCTAGGCGATGATATGGATAAATTTTAAAGGACCCAAGCTGATGATCCAATAGACCTCATTACATGTTCTACCGTGTACATATAACGAAAACCCTCAATTTCCAACACCGGTGCGGCACTAGCACTTGACTCAAATATATTTTATGGAATACCCTTTGTATTACTGGCTACATTATATTCCAACTAGTAAAGTTCAAGCTGAAGTAGGGTGTAATGGTGTACTACCCTGATTTCAAACGAGTGGTAAATTGCATATTTAGATAAGTAGCATTAACACCGATCCTGAATACTCTGCATACATGACACATGAGTATATGTCAAACTTCCTGTCAGAAAAACATAACGTGGCGAATAGGGTCCAGACTCCAGGAACATCATCCTACCTCCCCCGATTCAATTATGAAGGTCTGGAGGTCTGGATTGGGACATTATGAGTATATAGTAGATGGTGTATAGACCCTTCAACTAAAGTTTCTCGAAACTCTAGATTCTAGATTATTAAATCTACTGGCGATATAGCTTACTTTTGTTACATACACACGATGAATGCCATTGCATATGTGAGAAGTTTGTTAGCGCAACTATATATAGTTGATCTTATTGAAATTTGAGACCGGACGGATTAGACACAAGATGAATAAATTTAATCATACTCGAAAGCTGAAACTTATAAGTTCTATAGTATAACTGCTACTTGTACTAAATGGAATAATCCGGAAATGAAATCCAATACAAAGTTGACTGCACAGTGCACTGGCTATTTGACCCAGCGTAAATATCAAGCACAAAGTGTTAACTTCTGCAGAGATGTCTATGAAGCACGATGTGTAATTAAAAAAGTTTAAGGACAGAATTCATGGAGGACATGGAGAGCGCCAGATCGAATTGATAATAGATCTTTTATACCAGCTGTACTATATATTATCTTAGATGGATATATACAACACTAGTTGAGCAGAGCCTATTTCACAACCCAGTACAGTACCTGAAACATCTCCTATGACTCCCATACATGTGGGCAGAATATGGTATTCAGCCCTATGAGCCAAGAAATATAAAGGAGCTAGAGCTTACAGCTAGCATTATCTATCTTCCATGAGAAGATTCAATTAATGTGCGAACTTCGAAGTTCAACAAACCTCAAAATTTGCTAGACTAAGAATTAAACTACATAACCTGATGGTTATTGGCTATACTACTCCTTGCGTAATTCGAAGATCATCCAGATTATGCTTTAGATACCTTTAATTTATATGATCCACAGTTATGCGTTATGCAATAGCGAATTTGACTTTGAAGTTACTTTGGAAATTGGGACTTGCCAGCCTGCAGGGCCTTTCATGATGATAATCAGCTACAATTCAACCTATATATATATGAGCCGAGGGAGAAACTCGGGAGAATAGTTCTTATATACAAGACTGAGATATAGAAGGAAGCTCTATTACTACAACACTTCTTAGAAATCTGCCTTATATGTCGTTTTTAATGATGTATACGTCCATATGTTAATAAACCTTGAAGACGTACTACATGGTCATATATATTCAAGCTGTACGTATCAATATTAATGTTGGCATATAGATATCATATAAATCACTATATTATCGATCATAATTGTTAATTGAACCCTGATGAGCTAGACGTACCATATATTCTTCTTACTATAGATACAAATATCATATATGTACTACTTAAATCAATATGAGATACTACTCATGACTACATAATTAAGCCAACCAACATATTCGAAACTATGAAACGCTGAGCCAAACCCTATCGAATAGAATGATCTAGAGTTATAGCCCAAGATACAGGGACAAACCCCTAATTGAAACACAAACAATTGTGCAATGTGAATTATCGGCCTCGAATTGATAGAATTAATACAAGCTAGAGATATACATATTGCAGTATATTACCGGCTGAGCTTACTAGACCAATATATATATTAAATATACTATATCTAATTCGATGATATATATATATATGTGTCTTCTGACTCCAAAACTTTATAACAGCGAATCATATAAAGTGTTTATACATTATATTCGATTATACCACCCAACTAATAGCCCGTTAAAACAGCTTTCTATATGTCAAATATTATAAATCATGATTAATACAATATGCATATACCGAAGACATTAATACGTTAAATATATTGTAAATCATTTTATGATGTTAATCTTCAATTATATAAACCTCTATTTGAGGTTACTATATTATACACCGACTTCGGGTTAACGCACCTTTGACATAATTGATCAATATAAAAATCAAAGTAAAGAATTGAATTATGTCTTTTAAGGCGATGATAATTTGATGATTATCAATTCATTAAGTAGACCAGCAAGAATCAATGCTCATTGCTCGGTACTATAGGCTTATATAAATGTAGATCAATTAATGTAAGTATATTAACTATTAATTAAGCTTAACCAAATTATTCCGATGTGCCATCAAGAATACTAGTATATAAATTGAGAAGCCAAGATTCATAGTACTTTTGGAGTTGTGGTGTAATTATCCGTTAGCTGAAGACAACATGTGGTTGATCTCAACGTGTTAATTTTCGAGTCCTTTGGCTTCAAGATGTTTGCCTGTGTCTAGGTCAAAGTCGAACATGAATTGAGCTTAAAAGACCAACAAATTTGTCTCATATATAAATGTGAAGACATACATTAATGGATCTAATTCTTTTAACGTTTCATGTTCAGCAGTTTCACCAAAAACACATAGTTTTGCATTATATATACGAGTACATATAAATTATGAAATACAAATTAACCAATCAATTAAGAAACATAAAACACTATAATTGTACATTAACCTATCTTAATATTAATTGACATTGAACCTATAGATACGGCAAGAATAGGAACTGAGAAACCAATCCACAGAACGTGAAAAATTGAAATACATGAAGCATATTCAAATGTCTTTCATGCATTACTAAACTCAAAAACACAGACAAAATTAAAAACATAAAACAAGGTTCAGTTAAAAAGCCTTATCAAAATTCAAAAATTATTGGTCAAAGAATATGAAGTTCAAACTTTTGACTATTAATCATATCCACCTCTTGAATCTTCTTTAGCTGCCTTTTTATCCAATTCATCCCAATCTTCACCTTCTTCTTCAGATTCATCAAAGTCACTTCCACTACCACTTCCATCACTACCACCACCTTCACTATAGTCATCTTCACTTTGAACATCTTCATCACTTGGATCTTCATCACTAGCTTCGAATTCTGATTCTTCTTCCTCTTCACTACTTTGTTCTTCATCAGAACCACCACCCAAGAAAGACCAACCACCATCCAAGAAGAATTGTTTTGGATCAGCTTGTAATGTTTTCATAATTGTTAACCAATTCAAATTGATTGTACTTTCAGTATATGGAATATCAACATCTGTTAACCAAGATTTAACATCTTCTAATAATTCCATTGGAATTGTATTTATATGAACAACAGGTTTTTTAAAATCTTTGAAAACAAAAACTAAATCAAAATTCTTTAAACCGAATTGAACTCTTTCCAAATGTGCAATTTCAATTTCTTCCAGAGTAACAACTAAGAAAGGTGGATCAATTAATTGAACTAAACAATCTCTTGTTGGCATTAAGAAAGTTGATGATCTGAAAGGAACACCTGAAAACCCTAATTCTCTAAATGGAATATCTAAATCAAATAAACCACCAGAAGCATTTGAAATCAATTCACCAAATTTTCTAAATTCTTTATCTAAAGCAGCTTTTCTTCTTCTTTCTTCTTGTTCTTGTTCTAATTCATCTTCATCACCATATCTTCTTTGACCTCTTCTATTACCACCAGTTTCATCAATAGAAATATCAGAAGCTTCTCTATAAAATTGTAAATCAAATGTCTTTTTTTTACCAATAATCAAAGGACTTTTCAAATGAACATGAATAACAACAATTAATTCATCTTTGGAAGGTTGAAAGAATAAATGTTTAACATTACTAAATAAAACATCGATTCTTGAATCCATTTTCAATGGTGATTGATATCTTAAACCATTTTCATGAATTGATAAAGAGCCACCAACTCTTTTTGTATCTGGTGAAGGTCTTGCGAAAACATTATCTAATCTTCTTAATCTACCTGGTTTAGCTTCAATTAATTTTGCTTGAGCAACAACATCCGCCATAGCTTTCTTTTCAGTTTCTCTTTTAACACTTTCTTTTTTCAAATCAGTAATTTCTTTATAAACTTTACTCATATGTTCACCATCTTTTGATTTCAGAGTTAAAGAACGTAAAAATTCCTTCTTTGGATCATCTTCATATGGAATTTCATCCTTTTTGGTTGTATTACCACCAGCACCTGGTGAATTAAAATTTAATCTCAAATAGGTATAATCACCTTCTTCAGTTTTAGAACCATTTTTGAAAGCATTGATATGGAATGGAACTGGTCTACCAGAGATTGGAATAATGATTGTATTTGTTCTATGATCAACATGAATTTTTAAATCTTTGACAAATGATGGAATTTGTGATTCTCTCACATAAGATTCGTATCTTCTAAAAGTAGCTTTACGTTCATTAATGTCAGAAGCATTTGTATCACTAAATCTTTGTAAACCTTCTCTTTGTCTTTTTTCCATTAATTCTTTTTGAATTTGTTTTTGACGTTGTTCTTCATTTTCATCATGATTTTTAGTTTCAGTACGTAATTTTGATTTTAAAATTTTAGAATTAGCAGTTGGAGCTGAAGCTTCTCTTTTTGGTCTTGGAGCATCACCTAATTCATTAACTTCTTTTTTAATATCATCTTCTTCTTCTTGGAAATGGAATGAAACTTTTGAAATATCTGTACTATAATCAGTCAAGATTTTAGCTTCATTGTGTTGAATTTTAACAGTTTGAGATATTTGAAGAGCATAATTTTTACTTTTTGGATCAGAAGCTTTTGAATTAACTAGATCTTGGAAACCTAAAGTAATATTGAAAGTTGATTTATCATGGATAACACGTTCATTTTTAGCATTTAATAAAAATGAGGAATCTCTAAATTCTAAACCAATAGCCCAACCAACATTTTTCAAAAAATGTTTTTCTAAATCAGGTCTTTCAGATTTAATAAAATCTAAAGTTTTATTATAAACTTGAGAACCTGTTGAACCAGGTTTTAAATTTTCTAAAACTTTATCTTGAATTTTTAATAAAAATGAATAATTATCTTCAACTTCTTTTGGAGGATCAACCATAAATGTACGACTTAAATTTGAACAATATGATTGATATCTAAAACCTAATGAAACAATGATAACAAATCCATGGAATCTTTCTTCATTAGATTGAGCACTTGGTTTCAATTCAAATTTACCACCACTTTGAACGATTGGAGTATAACACCAATCTAAATTATCAGCATTTGGATCAGCACCAACTTGTTTTGTAATTGTATTCAATAACTTATTGTTATCTAATCTTGTTTCAATTTTATCACTTTGAGCAACATTAGTTGTTTTTTCATCTTTATCTAAAACTTCAGTTAATTCATCTTCATAATCTTGTAATAATTTATCACTCAATTTAGCAGCAATTCTAATTTTTCTTAATTCTTCATCGTCTTTAATTTCTAAAGTACCAGAAATACCAGATGCAATATCAACAATTTCTAAATCTGATTTAATTTTATTCCAATGAAGATTCCATTCATCAATAAATTTACCTCTAAAACTATCTTTAGTAATCATACCAATTTTAGAAGATTTTTTCAATTCAACAAGGAAATCATCAAAAATTTTAGAATTATGTTCAGTATCTTTAGTACGAGTCCAAATATCAACAGAATTTGATTTCAAAGGGTTTAAATATTTCAATTTCCCAGCAGAAGTGATGAATACAACTTTATCAGTTGTGAAATAAATGATTGTAGCAGGAAATTCATAACCTAGCAACCAATTATGTAAAGATGTAGTCTTTTTATATGGATTTTCTTCATCAGATGCACCAGTGACGATTAATAAAGTTTTAGCACCATTGAAAGCACCATCACTAAGTCTTTTCTGTAAAATAGCAACTCTTTTTTTGAAAGTAATTGAATCAATTGTAGGGGTAGACATTTTTCAAGTGTCTTTTAGAAGTAAATTCTAGACGTTTTAATTATAATGATATATGGCAAAATAAACCTGATAAAAAACAGACACAGACAACACGATAGCGAAAAAGCCAGAAGTATCACTCAGATTATATTTAAGATAATTTGAATATCCAGATACAACCAGTACAACTAGAATCTAAACCCACTTGATGAGATGGTTTTTTCGCCTTTAATTGTACCACAAAAAGATGCGCATTCAATCAAGTTTTTTTAAAATTCATACGCGTTTATTTTAAAAGTCGCGAAAAAATTGAATATTAGCAGTGATTTACCCTGAATTGGATGGGTTATTAGTTTAGACTGTTGTTTTGAGAGGGATGATGGTATAGAAATGGGTGGTGATGTATAGTGCAATAGAAATCATTGATATTAGTAGTATTTGTCGCGTTTTCCCTGTTTCAATTGGTGGTGATTTGGTGATTCTAGTTGATATATTGTGCATTGTAGTATTCAGATACATATATAATGACTCAATTTAAACACGAAAACATGGAAATTGAAGCTAATAACCAACTTAATCACCATTTCACCAATATAAACACTCTAAAACCACACAATACCCCCATAAATTAATGAGAAACCTCAAATTATATAATAACCACACGGATTCCCGGTCGGCACACGACTTCACAAATTCTGATTTCCAGCAAAAAACAAAAACAACACAAAACATCAAAAATGTCCTTTCAAACACACAATCAAATACCATACAATCAAAGATCACAAAGGAACTTTGAAGAAGTAGAACTCCATTCTTATTACTCAAAGGAAACAAAGAAATAATCACCAGAGTACCTTTTTTTTAATTATCACAGTTTTCAAATTTCTCATTATCAAAAATCTTTGACGTTTTAGACAGTTGTTAATTTTCTTGATTATCACAATACAACAATATATTCACATTTAAACACATATAAATCCATATAACAAAATGGCTGAAAACGACGATTACACTTATGATTACGAATATTTATTCAAAAGTGAGTATTTTTGTTTTTCATTATTATTTGATGCTAGATATTTTTAGTGTCAGATGTATATATACACCATGAATTGTATTACTAACATTACAAAAAGTTGTCTTAATTGGTGATTCAGGTGTTGGTAAATCAAATCTTTTATCCAGATTCACTCGTAATGAATTCAATTTAGAATCAAGATCAACAATTGGTGTTGAATTTGCAACAAGAACAGTAGAAATTGATGGTAAAAGAGTTAAAGCACAAATTTGGGATACTGCAGGTCAAGAACGTTATAGAGCTATTACAAGTGCTTATTATAGAGGTGCTGTCGGTGCTTTATTAGTTTATGATATTTCAAAATCTGAATCTTATGAAAATGTTAGTAAATGGTTAAAAGAATTAAAAGAAAATGCTGATGAAAATATAGTTATTGAATTAGTTGGTAATAAATCTGATTTAGATCATTTAAGAGCTGTTCCAACTGATGAAGCTAAACAATTTTCTGTGGAAAATCAATTATTATTTACTGAAGCTTCAGCTTTAAATGCTGAAAATGTTGATTTATCTTTCCAACAATTATTAAAATCTATTCATGATATGGTTTCAAAACATCAATTTGATATGACTGATTATTCTGGTCCAAAACCTTCAGGTGGTCCAACTATATCTTTAACTCCAACTCCAGGTAATGAACAAAGTAAAAATAAAAGTAATTGTTGTTAAGAAGGATGTTATGATTTAATTTTTTTTATCGATATATTGAAAAATGAGAATGATTTAAATCTCAAATACTGGACATACATACAATCTTGTTATATTTTACATTGAATAATTTGTTTTTGAATATTATTTCATCTTTTTTTTTTATTATTATGTTGGGGTCTCTTATTTTTCTATATTAGTTCATCAATACAATTCATTTTTAGTTCTCTTGTTAATTTCGTTACCTGTTTAATATATACGTCGATCTACAGTTAAAAGAACACAATAAAATTTTAAAAACAAAACGTATCAATACAAAGCGAAATAAAATATAAAATCTAAAATTTTAATGTCATAATTAAGAAATACCTTCAAGGTTACATAAATCTCTTAATTATAATAATCATAACTTTTATCATAGCATAGACAACGTTGATGATTTTATTCATACACCATATCACCACTATGAAAATTATTTAGTAGTATCAGCTTCTTTAAAATCACCATCATCTTCTTCTTCATCGTCATCATTTTTAGAACCATCAGCATCTAATTCTTTAGCAGTTTTAGCATAATCAATAACTTTACCTCTAGTTCTTCTACCACCAGTGATGATATTAGTTTGATCAATTTCAGTTAAATCATCTTCTTCATCATCATTATCTTCTTCTAATTGAAGTTCTAATTTTGTATCATCTTCTTCAGATTCTTCTTCATCATCTTCTTCATCTTTTGGAGCATCATCATATTGTCTACGACGTCTTTTTTTATCTTTTTTGGTTGATTGTTCTTCTGGTTTACGTTTTGATTCAGTTTCATCTTTTGTTTCTTCTTTAGATTCATCTTTTGATTCATCTTTTGATTCTTCCTTAGATTCTTCCTTAGATTCTTCTGGTTTAGCTTCAACTTCTTCTTTTGTTTCTTTTGGTTCAGTTTCAGCAGCAACTGGGGCAGCTGGAGTTTCTTTGATTTCTTCAGACATTTCTAAGTGTTAATTGAGTTGTATAAACGGGTTGTTGTTAAGATAACCTGTGTTTAATAAAGTATAATTAATTGTTAAATTTAAATATAAAGACACAATTTTTCTAATTGAGATTTAAAAATTTCGTGATTTTTCCATTTTTAAAATTTTGGCGTTCTTCTGGGGACGTTTTTCAATTTTCCAATTTTTCAATTTTCAATTGCCATTTTGAATTGGAAAATAAATTCGCGAAAGCCTGAAAATTTACCCTGTAATTAAAAAATCAAATTGATATCACTAATAAACAATTCATTTGTATGCTAGAATTCAACTAAAATAGAGAAATAGAGTGGGATAATAGGCTAGTTACAATGTCCAACATCAATGTATCCAAGAAGACAAGATTGGTATGTTTTTTTTGGGTTTGTTTCCTTATTATTCGATGAAAGTCGATGAAAGTTACTAACAAAATTTATTAGTCTGATTTAATAAATTACACAGTTAAAGTGATAACATTAGACTCTAGACAATTCATAGGTGAATTATTATCATTTGATAAACATTATAACTTAGTCCTTGCAGATACAGAAGAGTATAGACTTACGAAAAAATCAGTATTATCATTAAAAGATCGTGCAAGAAATAAATCTGAAGAATCAGAATCAAATTTAATTCAAGAACAAAAAAGAACAATTGGTTTAATTATACTTAGAGGTGAACATGTGATATCTGTTACCATAGAAGCTCCACCAACAAACCAAAAGGCAAGAGTTGCTGCCAAACAAGGCTCTGGTGTTATAAAACCATTGAAAACTAATAATACAACAACAAAACCTTCAGGTCAAAGTTTAACAGCTCCTGTACGTACTCAAAACAATCCAGGTTTTGCAGGTGCTCCAAAAGGTTTCAATCCACCTCCTGGTTTCAAAAGATAAATCATTTTGTAAAGGGAATTATTGAAATTACAAATGAACAAAAAAATATTGTATATTATTAATGTTATAATGCTAAGTTATGATTCTATCTGTACTTTAACTTCTATAAACAGTATAAAATATCTTAAAATCTTCTTCTCACACCAAGTGTTTTCTTTCTCTTTGGAGGATTTTCATTCCCTGATGATACTGTAGTAATATATGTTGTTGATGCACGATTTATAGTGGTGTTAATTTTTGTTATACTTGAAGCAGTTGTTGTGGTTTTTGAGGATGATGAATTTAAGGATTGTTTAAAAATTGGAGCATGGTTGATTTTATGTATATTATTTGAAGGTGTATGTTTAGTTATTGAATTGATTTTGATTTGAGTTTTTGGCGCAAATGTTTTCACTCCAGGTGGAGGAAGTGGTTTTGAATCTTCAATCTGGGGTTTTGCAAACGTTGAATGGTATCTTTTATCATTTAAAAAAGATAAACGACGTTTAAAAGTAGAATAACTAGGATAATCATAACTATGATCTTCCTCGTAAGTATCTTTGTTTAAACCTTCGTTGTTCTTTCTCTTCCAATATTCCTTATAATCTTTTAACACTTTCTTGACCCCTGATTCATCTGTAATTGATTTATCAAAACTTTGATATAACACATTCACGTTATCCCAATTTTGTAAAGCTTCTTGATTATCTCTCATTAATTTTTGAACTTTTTTACTTGAAATAAATCTTGATGGTTCAACTTCACGATCTGACCACCCTGGACCACCTGATAAAGGTGTCGTTATATATAACAATTGTTGAGATCTTGTAGTAGCAACATAGAATATTCTTCTTTCTTCATTTAATGCTTCTTCATCATCTGCATCTTTTGTTGCATAACCAGCTGGAAGTGAACCTTCAGTTAAACCGGGAACGAAAACAACCGGCCATTCTAAACCTTTAGCAGAATGAATTGTTGATATACAAACTTCACCATCGTTTCCAGCACCTTCTTTATCATGAGTTGAATAAAGTTGAATAGAGGAAAGGAAACTTTGTAATAGAGTTTCTTCTTCATCTTCAAGCTCAACGGGTATTTCATCATTAAGATCTAATATTTCATCTTCAATAGGTTCAAAAACTATTAATTGATTTTTAACTTCAGTTACGTTTTGTTTTCTTTCTTCATCATTCAGAAGCAGGTCGTTTAAAGCCCCATTTTTTGTGAAATAATCAAATACTTTCACCAATGCATCAAGTTCAACAGATTCACTTATAGCTAATAATCTAGCATCGTTAATCAAATTTGTATAACCTTTAATTAAATTTTGTATCTTTGGACTAATACCTTTTATTTCACCTTCACCATCACCAATTTTATTCAACGTTGCATAAACACTTTCACCATTTTTTATTCCTGCTTCTAATATAGCATCAATTTTCTTAATAGCAACAGGCCCAATTCCTGAAGTTTGTGATTGAAGAGTCCTCAAAAGAGCTGGTTTATCATCATCATATGCAACCATTCTCAATAAATCTATAATCATTTCAACTTCCTTCCTTTCCCAAAATGCTTTACCTTTCACAATTTTATATGGGATCTTTCTCTCAACTAATGCCTTCTCTAATGCTCTACTTTGATATGCAGCCCTTACCAAGATTGAAAAATCTGAATAGTCAAATAGTCCAGGTAAAGATCTTAAATATTTGATTTCATTAGCTATATATACAGCTTCATCCTCTTTTGAATCATGTGTTTTATAAACGGGACTAAAATCATGTTGAAAACTTGAAATTAAAGATTTCCCAATTCTTTTTTCTTGTTGTGTCATTAATGCTTCACTTAAATCCAACACCCCTGACGTGGAACGATAATTTTGATTAAGTTGTACAACATCACATTCTGGATATAATTTTCTCATCAGATCAAAATTAATTGAAACTGCATCTCTAAAGCGATAAATACTTTGATCTGGATCACCAACAACAGTTATACAATTGTTGTTTATTGAATTGCCTTTAGCAAATCTACTCACTAATTCAAGCTGAATCGTATTTGTATCTTGAAATTCATCAACCAAGACATGATTGATCTTACTGAGCACATTATGTTCTTTAAGTAGTTGATTTGTCTTAATCAAGAGATCGTCAAAGTCCATCATCTTTTGTGCTTCAAGTTTATTTTGAAACTCTGTGAATATTGCATATAATTCTTTATTATGATCTCTTTGTTGTTGGTATTCATTTGGATATAAACCTTTAGATTTGAGCTTAGATATCTGCTTCTTAACACTTTTTAAGTCATACGGTTTTTCAGAAGTACCTTGACTTCTCTCTATAGGTAAAAATTCACCACTTTCTAATTTACCAATTTTAACAAGGTCTCTAATATTAGCAACATCTTCTGTTATAGGATCAATCACCGAGTTCATTATATGATTCCAATCTCTATCAGCAGCAATCTTAAACTTTTGAAGATTTGTGACATGGCCATATTGATGTAATATTCTGTTACAAATACTATGGAAAGTACCAATTATCAATCGATTAATTGGTAGATTTGTGTTCTCCAACATTGAAGCCAATCTTTCCTTCATTTCATTTGCAGCTTTCTTTGTGAATGTAGTGACAATAATAGTTTCAGGTCGTATGTTATATTCAATCATAAGGTATGCTACCCTTGAAGTGAGTACTTTTGTTTTACCTATAAATGTTAGCAGATTGCTCTTCAATATACATTTATTGATATAGGTTGAAAGACTTACCAGTACCAGGACCAGCGATGATTTGAAGTTGTCCAGTTGGAGGACTAGTTACAGCTCTTCTCTGTGAAGCATTAAGCCCCGCAAGAATTCTTTGAAGCACAAGCTGACTAGTCATTATTGAAAGTTGATGAGGCTAGCTTTGATGATTTTGACTGAGTTCGCTTCATTGTTTACTATTTTGAATATTTTGGGATCAAATTATGCGCGTATATGAAGAAATTTAAGTCGCGCCCTTTCGTATATCATCATCACCAAGTGTCACATAGATCCAAGTGAAACTAGAAATCAGATAATAAGTACCTACAATATATTATTCATTATATACATGATTCATCTATTGTGGTTGACTCAAATCTTTAAAAAGATTTTTTTATAATACAAGAATGCCGCAACGGATGCAACAAATAATGTATACAAGAACAAAACTGTTATGCTTACCCCGGTAGAGGCATCTAAGGTGTTGATAGTCATATTGACTAATCCAGTGGAAACATTGGAGACCAAGAACAAGATCATACCGTTTGAGTTGAACGATTCTAAAGATACTGGCACTTGATCGTTATAGTCCGAATTTGGTGGTTCCAAAAATTTGGTTATCAAAGAATAAAATACCAAAGATCCAGTATTATAGGTACAAACCCATAATACATATGGCAGATTTGCAAGCCTTCTTGAAACACCATAATCATGTTGTGCTCTAACTGTGGCAAATAAAAGGCCATATACAGTGAACCATATGAGTAAGCCTGTAATTGGTGACACTGTTGTAAGTTTTTGAAGCAACGAAGGTTTGGTAGTGGAAGTTTTGTTAACGTTCTCTTTTGTACTTGGAACAAACAAATTATATCTAGATTTCACCGATGGTAACACGTAAAATCCTGTAGATTGACCAGCTAAGAAGATAGCCAAATATCCAAATAATGAGAAGATACCTTCTTTATTAGATGAAACAAAATCAGTTCTTGGGGCCAGCAATAAATAGGTTAAGAAACCTTCTTTGTTAACGATGAACCATTCATATGTAAATGTAACAATTAAAGATACCAAAGAACGTGGAATCAACTTGAAAACAGGATCTAAGAAAATTGCAATCGGTCCGACTAAAACCAAAGTTATAAAAAAATTCCAGTGAACACCATATTCAGAAACATGTTCTTGATAATCAAGATTCTTAACAAAGAAGAGTCTTAAAAATCCCAATGCTAGAACAGTGATACTGCTTGTAACTGTTTTCCATGCTTTTTTGAAATAATTTACCTTGACATTATTAAATTTTTCCAGTAAAACACTTCTTGTTGATACGATCCCCATTGAAAATACAAATGAACCAACACCTAAATCCATGAGTGAAGTACCCCAAGTTTCGACTTTGGCAAATCTTCTAGGAAATATTTGAAAATCAACAGCTAAGATAGCAATAGCAGTAATCACGAGCATGCCACCTCTATATGCAGTAATAAATGATTTTTTAGGCAAATATGTTTTATCAGTTAATTCTTTTGGAGCTTTGGTTTTTTGAGTTGATGATGCATTTTTGTTTCCTAATATAACACATAATGAGATTGCTGGTATCAAAATAGACAAAGCCAATATACCTGGAATACTAGAGTATATAGTCACTGATAGTAATAAACCAGCCCAATTCAATAGAAAGTCTATCAATAGACTACCAAATTCCCATTTCTTTTCACCTTTGAACAAATTGGTGTATTTATTAATCAATCCCCAAGAAAAATATGCCACTAAAGCAATTGATGTGACTTGATTGATCTCTGTGATTTCACCACCACTTAGACCCGTGACAAAATCTTGTTTTCTTTCTTTGAGCGAACTCATTGTATGATGTTATCTTGAAAATGTGCTGAAGTTTATGAATCAATCTCATCGCCTTTTTCATTAATTACGCCAAACACGTCAACAATAACATGATTACATAATCAAATTTTATATAGACTAGATCACGATTCACTACATATTAAAAAAGGTTTCTTGATTAAACACATACTTTTAGTTTTCATTATAGTTGTGTATCTTGTACAAGTGCTTGACTTTGCAATGGATGACCATGTGTTATTGTATAATATTCTCTTTGAAGAGGCGATTTCCAAATTTCTAAATCCTCATCAGATTGTTGGAGTAAATTTTCAATAGTTAATTTTCGAAGCTCATAGCTTTCAGGCTCACTGACATTTCTACCTTCTATAACTTTGTTCATTACCTGCGGTAATTCTTGAAGAAGTAATTTTGCACTATAATTATATTGTGCCAATTTGGATAAGATTGCAAAAAGCTCAACATATGGAAGTTTGAGTAGTTTATTTGTGGTAATCTCATCCTTGACAGAATTGAAAGAAGTTGGATCAGAAATCAGATTTCTGAATATAGATATATTGTTGATATTCAATGGTAATTGTTTCAAAATTGATTGATGCTTTGAACCAAGATATGACGCATTTAAAGTTGCCAATAAAAAGTGATCATTTTTCCCAATCTTGACAAATTTATTATCCAATGTTTCAAATAAGCTTGGTGAAATCAATGAAAGTTTCTTGAAGAATAGTGATAGTTCAGTGACGGCAAAATACTCAATATCAGAGTTTGTTGATCTTTCAGCATATAATTTACCAATAATGTTAATTTGATCTTCAATATTAACTAAAAGCCAGTATTTTTCCAGTGATGAGTCCACAATGTCCAAAATCTCAGTATAAAATCTGATGAGATTCAATGTGTATAAGATATCATTATCTTCAGTGAATTTTGTAAACTTGTATAAAATTGGATTGATTTCTTGTTCTTTGACTAAAGGTAAAACGTGGATCAATAAGTCCAATAATCTACTCTTGACAGTTGTATCATTACTTTCCTTTATACCAAGCAATTTCGATTCAACATTACCACTTAAAAGTCTTCTTCTAATGAGCTCACCCGAAACTAAGGTTCCAATTGATTTCTCAATTTCGTTCACCAACTTGATAGAACTATCTTTAATTGAAAGCAGCTCAACAGCTTTTGGAATTATTTCAGTATTAGATAATATATCTGGGGGACTGGCTTTGGCTGATACTTTCATTGCTAATATTTGAAGGTTTTCGTTTGGAGAGTGAAGCGCCTCCACTATCAAATCCAATTTGAACAAATCTATGACTGTTTCAAAATCAAGTCCTATTAAAACCGCATCTAATAGCCCAATAACTTTATTGTAATCAATATCCAATGAGTTATTATGTAGGATATCAATGATTGCGAGTAAAAGATCTTTGATTTGGTTTTGATCATGATGAATGGTTTTATCAATTGTGGCAATTGAGATGAAATCATCAATCAATTTAGTATCTAAATCGTCGACCTCAGATACATTGACTTTCAGCAAGTGTTCTTGTAGCCTGGTCTGTAGCTCAATATTTCTGTCGCTCGACATTTTCTTTCCTATGTTTCCGCTTTCGTTGTACGATTCAATAGAGCCTCTGATTGATAATTGAAGGCAAAAAAATCGGAAGTGTTGATCTGAGATGTAAACAAAAAAAAAATAAATTTGTCACTAATAATTTTAGTTTGTATTGTTCATCAACCATATTCCCATTATCAACACAAATCATGTCAGATCTTAGAGAAACAGTTGTCAATCACTCTTTATTTACGAAATCAAGACTTTACTCTTTGTATTCAGATTTTGCCAAACTTAAAGATGTTAATCCTGATGGGTATGAAGCTAATCTCATAGCATGGAAATCCTTAATCACAACATTTTTTCAAAATCAATCTTTCAAAGATACATTTGCTTTACAGACCACTGGATTATTGGAGGATCTCACACTTCCTGATTATGGTAAACCGATGGCATTATCATCAGTTCTAGAAGAACTCGTGGCGGCTGGTGAATTAATTCCCCTACAACAATATAAATCAAAAACTGAAAGCATATACACAAGACATTGGGTGCGACCAGCATTGAACTGGGCGGTTAACAAATTCTTGATCAATACATCTTATAAAATTGGTGATGGTAAAAATAATTTGAAAGGTGATACTCTCGTATCAAGAAAAATTTTGGAAATTTATGCTAGAGAACTTGAAAATAGTGTTGCATTTTCGACTCCTGGTCAATCAAAACAAGTCTTCACCAAGGATGAATTAAGAGAGTATTTAAACGGATTGAATATAAAAGCTTTTGGTAACACGGTGAAATTGAGTGAGTTGGACTTTGAGATATTGCTTTTGTTTTTACAAAGAGATACTGGCAAGATCAGATCAAATGATACTATTGTTAAGTTGAGCAACGAGGAGATCACAGAAGAGGATATTGCTATAGCTGAATTGAAGAGTACACTTAAGAACTTGAACTTGAAAAGCGACGAGCTTCAGGGAAAAATTGATTCTATTTCCATCAAACTAAGAGAAAGTTTACAAAAGAAAAATAGTAAAGATTTATCATTAAATTTATTAAGATCCAAGAAGCTAGCTGAAAAATCATTAGGCACACAGCTTTCTTTAATTAATCAGCTTGATTCTGTTATCTACAAGATTGATGAATCTTCAAGTAATGTCCAATTATTGAAAGCATTGGAAAATGGTACTGGAATCTTAAAGAACTTGAACAGCCAAATTGGCGGTGTTGAAAGGCTTGAAAAAATCATGGATGATTTAGAAGAAGAAAAATATCAATCGGATAAAATATCATCAGAGTTATATCGTCTCAATCCACAAGTCAACGAAGATGACATCGAAGAAGAATTTGAAGCATTACTAGCACAAGATAAGGCATCAAAAACTACAAACAAAATTAATGAAGACAAGGAGGAAGAAAAATTGGCTGAAAAGTTATCAAATTTGGGCCTATCTCCAACTGAAATACAAGATGGATCTACAAAAGCAAAAGAACAAAATTCAAACGAAGCCATGACCAATTGATTTGCAATTAAGTGCTAAATCTTTTTACGTTTCTATTTTCCTCTAGTATTTGTGAAAAACCAGCAGCTAATGTGAATCCCAAGGTTATCTCCCACATTCCAGGTATTTTCAATTTATTGAAATCATCGTATATAGTGATCCACCCAAGTTTGACATCATTAGGAGAATCATCAGGCGGGTCCTGTTGGAAAACGCCATCACCTGGTGAATAATATATCGTTTCACTGGAACCGGATGTATCATCTGAATTATTTTCATCGTAGTAAAATCCATTTGAACCTGATTGTAAAGATCTGTTAAATTTTTTGATCAACTTCTTTTTGGCTCTCACTTCTTGTGGTCTAAAACATGCTAAAATTTTACCTTTTGGTTCATGGAAATAAATATACCTTTTATTTTTTAGTTTTGTTGCACTTTTGAACTGAGGTATAGACCCCAAATACCATTTATCTTTATTAATATCTTCCAATTCATATCTCACAAGTTTTGATTGACTTTCAATATATTTTCCTTGTAACTCCTTGAGATCAATGTTCTTTGTTTTATGATGATAACTTTGGACATCTCCTTCCTTAATCTCAAGTGTTCCATCTTCTGTTAAGTAATATCTACTCAATAAATTAATCTCAAATTTATCACCTTCCATCGTTACGGTTGAGAAGACATCACCATCCACTTGATTTTTAAATACCATTCTAAATCCATTTTTACCTGTACTGTCTTTTCTTCCACTTTGCAATGTTGGATACTGAATCTCAATATAGAATCCTGGTGCATTACGACAATATATATGTTTTGAATCTGGATTGCATGTGAGGTAAAGACCATTACCAAACTCAAGTATATGATATTTCCAAAAATCCTGAGAATTAGATGACGATTCGAGTTTCTGCTTTGTACCCGAGCGTAGTAAGCTCCTACTTCTGAATATCGATTTGTTTTCGTTAGATCCAAATGAGTGATGCCTTGTGAGAAATTCTGAACTTTTGGATGATGGTATAGTGGGTAGCGCCTGAATACTGTGCCTTCCATTCTTTTTGAGATGTTGAATCTCATTTGATGATAATGGTTGAAGGTTTGGATTGGATAGCCTTATTTTCGATATTGTATAGTTTTCTTCGATATCATCTTTAATAATACTGTTTGATTTTGATTCCAATTCAGGTACTGGGCGTCGACGTGGTGGTGGTGTTGGGGGTACAGGTCTAGCGTTTTCATTATTGTAAGATTGTGTCAAATTCTTTGCTTCTTCTATCGATATGCTCATTTTCCAATTAAATCAAACCTGACTTTTTTGATTAAAGAGTCCAATCCTTTTATAAAATAACGAAAGTGAGTATAATGGACAAAGCAAACAGCTTCTATGATGTATGGGATATTAGGTATAAAGGTTTTGGGTAAAATTAAACCTTAACGATAGATGAGATGCTCAGCATCCAGCATACCCAGCTCGAATTGATAGCCGAACACCGAATTCCCAAAAAGGTAGTGAAATGGTTTTACGGTTACCATAGTGTTGGTGGACCAAATACGGAAACATGAAAACAAAAACAACACGAAATGAAGACGAATAGAATATCAAATACCTTTTGAGCTTTGCAATCTTTTGCCACCATTTCATACTGAAAGAACCACAACCATAAGAGAATATGTCAGGTAACTTAAGGCTTTCGCAGTTGGATCCTCTACCCAAAATCAGTGGGATCCAGGTAGGGAACACCATAGGCCAAGGTTCATTTGCTATGTAAGTACGTCTTGTTTTTCAATGATTTGAATAATAATTAACATAGTTGTTTTAGTGTTAAGCTTGCACATTATCAATCGAAGAATCTATTTGCTATTAAATTTATTCATAGAAAAATGTGTCACAGTCTTGGTCTGAGTGATGAGGTCGTTTCAAGGGAAGTTTTATTTCATAAAACTTGTTCAGGTCATCCAAATATAATCAAGTTGCTTGATTTTGGGACAGATAGAAATTGGTTATATATAGCCATGGAACTAGCAACAGGCGGTGACTTATTTGACAAGATAGAGCCTGATATTGGGGTTGATGAAGAGATCTCACACTTTTATTTCAAACAGTTGATTAATTCTATTGATTTTATACATTCAAAAGGTATTGCACATCGAGATATAAAACCAGAAAATATTTTGCTTGATGCTCAAGGTAACCTCAAAATAGCTGATTTTGGTCTTGCTGCTGTTTTCAGAAAATCAAGAGCAGGTGAAAAGAGACTTTGCTATACACCATGTGGATCAGCACCATATATGGCCCCAGAGTTGGTATCAGGAAATGGTTACGACCCTGAGTATGCTGATATCTGGTCTTGTGGTATTGTTTTATTTGTATTGCTTTCAGGGGAGACACCATGGGAAGAACCAACTAAAGCAGATCCATTCTTTAGACATTTTTCAGCAAATGATGGAAAAATTTTAACTGAACCTTGGAACAAATTTTCACCGATGGTACTCTCATTATTACGTCTGATTTTGAAAATTTCAGTCGATAAGAGAGGTAAAATTGATCAACTGAGGAAACATATTTGGGTGAATCAAGAAAACAAATATTCTACTCCTGATGGGTTATGTAAAGATTCAACATTACTTACTTCCAAATTATTGGAAAATATGCATATCGGTCTTTCAGATGAGCAATATGTTCAAAGTTCTAACAGTGAGGATCAATATGACTCAATTCAAGACCACTTCATTGCTTCACAACCGGTGGCAGATATTGCAGCTATGATTGATGATGCGGAAGATGATCAATTTAGTAGACTCATTTCTACTCAACAAGAATTTACTGATTATAACAAAGCACAAATTGCTTCAAAGCAAGACTCAGAAAGAGAAAGTATATTTAAAATTATTTCCAAAGATCCCTCAGTACTACAGTTCTCTAAAAACAAAAAACTTAGCGGATCTCAAGCACCACATTTTAATTATGCTGATAGATTAACTAGATTTTTCTCAATTTTACCAGCTGAATCACTAATTCCAATCTTAATATCGGCTCTGCATAGAATTGGTATTTCAACAGCAGGGTTCCAAGATAAAATCATCAATGATCATTCCCTAAATAAAGGACCGGTTCATATTACTGTTCACACAGTTGATAGAAGAAAGTCGTTCCTTAGAGGTAATATTAAAATATCAAGAGTTGAAAATTTGAAGTTAAAAACAGTCGATTTTGTTAAGACGAAAGGTGATCCATTGGAATGGAGAAGACTTTTCAAGAGGATCACTATATTGAGTAGAGAGGCCGTTTACATAGAAGAATAAAAATAAATGATTGAATCATATAGAAGATTATATATATCGTACAATATGGAGTATTTCAGTTTTTTCAATATATCGATACATTATAATACGTGTCTAACATATAAATCAATCTATAAAGTTTCATATGTTAATTATTTCTTATATTTCAGACGTTAAGCTTCAGTTTAATCATTCCCAATTAATTTCATGATATCGCAATTCCTATATTCGACCCGTGATCATATCGAATTAGAGTTTTGGTCATAGTATATATATTTCTGACGTCAAATGAAAATGTTTGTAGTTCACTTGTATTACCAACTTCGTGATCACTAAAGCACTATTTCCTCTTAATATGAAAAGAATCTTCACCTTAGTCGATTTCTTGATTCATAAAAAGGAATTTTGAAAGTAATATTCTATTTTGGGGGTACTTTCCTGATTTGGTAGTTTTCTCCTTATTTTCACAACATGATTGAAATTAAAATCATGGCATTAACAATTATCTTTTGAACAACCGAACTTTTAAAATTATAGGTTATCGAACAACAACAAGGCGCCAAAAGCTCACACAAACATCACATACAAAGGCTTAAGAATATTAAGAGATAAAGCGCTTTTGTTTATAAAGATAGGAGCCAGTGTTAAACAACATGACAGACCTAGATTCAGTCTTCATCTCCACTGTTGAGACGGCAGTTACAACATCAGTTGCTCAAAATAAGCCATTAATTGTTTTTAATACAGATAATTCAACATCCTCTAATAACTGGATCAATGAGATACTTTCATCTGATCTATTGCAGCTGGTTTCAGAGAAAGCTGTTGCTCTAAAGCTTGTCAAAGATACACAGCAATTTGCGTTATTTGAACAAGTTTTTCCAAATGTTATTGTACCCAGCATATATTGTATTAAAGTCTCTGCTATATTAGATATCATTCATGGTGATGTAAATAAAGAACAATTTAAAGAAAGGATGGAAAAAGTTTTATTACAAAATTCTTCAAATTCAACAGATCAACAAGACCAACAACCACCAAATCATGTGAATCTTCAGGAATCTGGTATTACCTCAAACACAAGACAAACAACATCAAGTCCTCAGCAAAACACAACCGTACGAAATGCACCATTAGAAGATTCAAATGTATCCTTGGTATCACCATCACTACCAGCTACCGATGCTTCCGGGTCCACAGATTCTCCACGAGTTGGAAATTCTACAAGAGATGCTTTACAATCACAAAGAAATACACCAAGTCCATCTTCAAAAGGCAAAAGCTATGGGAAACGTGATCATAAATCTTTGAAAGAAGAAGCCGCTGAACTTGCCGCTAAAAAGTATAAAGAAGAACAGTTGAAAAAACGCCAAATGGAGAAAGAAGAGCGTGATAGGGTTAAAAGGTTATTGAAAGCTGATGAAGATGAAAGAAAACTAAATGAGCTTCGCAAAAAAGAAGACAGAGAGAGACAGAGAAGATTGTCAAATGATTCGGGTGAGCTAGAAGATGAACATTCAAATATTGATGAAATAATCAGCGGTAACAAATCGTTAAAAAACAATATTCGTGATAGAAGACCTTCAAGTCATCCAAAATGTGCATTGTCTATACGTTTATTGGACGGTAGCTCTTTAAGACATGAGTTCCAAAATAATGACACATTAAATGTTGTGAGAAAATGGCTTGATGAAAATAGAACCGATGGCGATGACCCATATTGTTTTCACAGAACTATTCCAAGAGCTACATTTGGTGTCACTGATGAAGAGAAAACATTAGATGCTCTTGAACTAACCCCTCGTTCAGCTTTGATCTTGAAACCATTCAACACTTATGCTACTGCTTATCAAGGTAAACAGAAGACACCTTCAAGTGGCGGTCTCTTTTCAAGGGTATTTGGCGGTTTATCTTCACTTTGGTATGGAAGTGAAGGCCATTCACTTAATAATTCGAATGATGAGGCTAGACAGAATGATTCCATTGAGCAGGATGATGACATGATTGATCCAGCTTCACCACAATCATCATCGTACGTTTCTCCAGCTCCTACACCAAGAAACTTTAATGAACCAGAAACCAATAGACTTGACTTATTGCATCCATCATCACTAAATTTGAATTTAAATTTGGACCAGGTTCAACTTCCAAGGCCGGCTTCTCCAGCTCAAAGTTTGAACACCCAACAGAATCACCAAGAATCAGCAGTAGGTAGGACTGAACTACCAGCATCGCTATTAAGAACAAATTCCAGTCAATCGTGGATTAGAACTTTAAATGATGATAATGACAACGACGACCGTCTGACATATAACGGAAACCATGTTAATTTGGAAGATGACTCTAAAAAGAGATGAGATTTAAGAGGATTTATGACTATTTATATAGCACACAGTTTAATTTATATATACATATATATTGAGTCCATTCTTTTCATATAAACGGACAATCTGTATTAGTATGGATATTAGAAACCACTTGTTTCCCGATATGGCAGTCTAGACGGTTTGAAGTCGGAATTACGATTTATAAGGCTGGAATGTGCGCGCTTTTCAGATCTGATCGCGCTCAAGAATTTATTTGTGTTGATTTGTACGACGTAATCCATAACAAAAGTAAATATATATCAACAGTCAAGTGTTTACTTTCTGAGAATATTAGTTTATCTAAGCAGCCATAATGTCACTTACCCCGGAATCAAAGTCTAGGATAGCGTCACAGTCCTCTGAAGTCAGCCAACCGATCAGTGTGGATCAAAGCTCAGTCCAGGATATTAATACCCAATCAATTACACCAAACAGTGATCAAAAAATCCAGCCAGCTTCATCCCCAGAGTTACTTGACGAAGATAAAATAATTAAAATTTTGGGCTCTGATGGTGCTATTGACGCTTTACTTGGAAGATTGAAAAAAAGTGTTCTGACTTGTGAAGAATTTTCTAAATATATAAGAAAGAAGGCCTTATTAGAGGAGGATCACTTTGAACATTTGAAAAAGATCTCTAAAACCACACAAGAAGCATTGAAAGCAACATCTACATTGAAAAGTGATTCATTTGTCATTAATTTTGATAAAATTGTGAAATTGGATGATAGAATCGCTCAACATGGGTCTAATTTTAGTAAAAGTCTACACAATATGAACGAAGAGTTATCATCATTAGGATCCACTATTTCCAAGTCTAGAAAGCTAACCAAAGAAAATTTCAGAAGAAAAGAAAAAGAAGTGATTGATGCAATTACAGCTGCAGAAAAAGCTAAGAACAAATATGATGGATTTTGCTTAGAATTAGAAAGATTGAAAACAACTGACCCTACAAAAAAAACATTCACATTGAAAGGCTCAAAGACTACAACTGAGCAAGAAGAGATCCTTCAGAGAAAAATCGAGGGCGCAGATGCAGATTATAGACAAAAGGTTGCTACATCAACTGGTCTAAGAAGTGTATTTCTGAACACATTCAGACCATCAACTGCCAAAAATTTGAAGAATATGATTATTGAAATCGACATAGCTATGAGTGTTCAACTACAAAAATATGCATCTAAGGTCGAGGAAAATATATTGAGCCAAGGGCTAAGTGTGAGTCCAATTTCTGGAAAAGATATACAATCAATCAAGAGCATAGCAGCATCAATTAACAATGAACGTGATTTATACAATTATATTTTAAGATCTACAGGCACTGCACCAAACAAACAATTAATTCCTGTTGAGTATAGACCGCATCCTTCAATCACACCATCTGCTAGTAGTGGTTCAATAAAGGTTAGAAGCTTTAACCAAGTCAATAGTGGGAATAAAAATTCATTACCAACAGCCCCTAAATCAAATAATGAGCCATTATCTGGTGCCGCTGCAAGTCCAAGCTTAGGCTCTTCAAATAATACCTTTAGACAACCAAGTTTTGAGATGAAAAACACAACAAGTGCAGCATCTTCACCATACCTAGATGACACTCAGTCATTCAAGAGCTCTATGGTGAGTGGGCCAAGACCAATTTCTGTTATTAATAATGATAATGTGCCATTACCTCCAGGAACATCTTCAAATTTCAAAACTTTTGGAACCCCAATATCAGACTTGATTGAATTTGAAGGTGAAATGGTTCCATCCGTTGTTCGTCAATGTATTTATGTTATTGATAGATATGGTTTAGAAAAAGAAGGAATTTATAGAACAAGTGGTAATGTATCAACGGTTCATGCATTTAAGGACTTGATAGACAAAGATCCAAGCAACATCAAATTGATTTTGCCAAATCCTAACTCGATTTCAGACAGTGATGTTTATGCCGTTGCTTCGTTATTGAAGCTATATTTTAGTTCATTACCTGAAGCTCTTTTGACAAACGAAGCAAGCAAAAAATTCCTAGAGTATATTAAGATACCAGAACCAGAACTTAGATTGAAGAGAGTTCATCAAGTTGTGTATGACTTACCAGATGGGTCTTATTGGACATTAAGAAGCTTAATTTTCCATTTGAGTAAAGTTGTCGCTAAACAAGAGATTAACTTAATGAACTCAAGAAATTTGGGTATCATATGGGGTCCAAACTTATTTCCAAAAGATGATTTTAATGCAAGTGACATGAGCTATCAAGGTAAATTAGTTGAAGAATTAATTCATCATGTCAATGATATATTTGAAGCTGAATAATTTACTAATGGAAAAAATGACTATGAACGATTGAATATGTGCGATTTACTGATCTGATATAAATAACTGTGTATTAAGATAATTTATAATTGTAAAACTATAGATAGATGTACAATAATGTAGCTGATTTATAACTATAGCTAAAAGGCACCCTAACCTGGAATATACTTGTACAGGTCAGATGAATCAACTCTCGTTATAAATTCAAAATGAATTAAAGCATCAATATTCTTCTTGATGTCGGCCAAGGTACAAGAAAACTCCTCGTGGATTTTAGCAACCAATTCATTATGTGTCAACTCTTTTTGTGATTTCATCGTTCTAACAATGAAAGCTTTCATAAACTCATCAATATCTGATTTGAACATGGTTTCACGCTCAGCTAAAAGATCTTCATCCTCATCATCTTCACCACTTTTCAGTTTCATTGGAACATTTCTAACTTTTATCGCTTTTCTGCGATCTTCAAAGTTCTCATTCATCAAATATTTCCCACTGGCTGCCTTCACCAAAATTTTATATCTTCCATTTGTCAAAGAATGCAGTACACCTGATAGGTTTTTTGAGTCCAAGTTAGTCAGAGTTTTTATTTCTTCAAAAGTCAATTCATCATAATCATTGAAAAGCAGCAGTACAATCCCTTGATAACCACCCAAATGTAACTCTTTTGTACCTTTTTTGAAACGAGCTGAGACTGTCATATGACTTAAAGCTTGTGACCAAGTTAATGTTTTCTTTGTATTTCTTTTTAAATAAAACTGTTGGAATTTGGTCATGTATGATTTAAGATCATCCGGAATATTTATTTTGGATTTAGCTGGAGGCCATACCTTTGATGATAAGACCAATGGTTCAAAGAACCCAAATGCAGAGCGTTCAGCTGATGGTAATTGTCTTCTGAACCTATCCACGAGTTCTTCGTTGAACTCTACATCTTCAATCATTGTTCTTAGCTGATCACATTCATCTCTACCAACTTCTTGTTCTAATAATTTGATAAACTCTTTCTCTAGCTCAATATCTTTTGTAGTCTCATTAATCAACCTTTTAGATAAATCTCTTTGGTATGCCCTTATGAAAACCGTTTTTGCTTTGATTGACTTAAAAATTAGATGAACATCTCGAAGTAAGATTGAATTATGATCATGGTCTTTTGGATTAGCACTTTTGAACAAACCATCGATGTATTTTAGAATGTACCCGTTCAAGTTTTCCGAATCCTTCCCTACATCATGTAGCGATGCACTAAAAGCATCTCTTAGCCTTACTTCAACTCTATAATTATTATCCATATAAGTAGATAATATAACTGCAAGATGCTTCTTTGACTTTATTAGCCTTTCGACTATATCTGGAGTCATAGTTTTTGCTAGTGACAGTATATAATCATAAACATACGAGTACCAGATATTGGAAAATGTCTTCATATCTTTCCCTTCACCATCATCTGTTGAAGGTGCATTCTGTATAAACTTGAAAAGTATGGCGATCTGGGAAAATTTCTTGGTAACAAATAATGGTTTTATAAATTTGATAGCATCTTGCTCAAAATTATTGAAGATTAAACAATATGTTAGATTATATTTCACTTTATTCTTGAAGCTTATAGAGTCTGAACCTTTTTCCCAAAATGAAATCTCTTGGTTTAATAGCTTGTACATCATTTCAAAAATGACAGATTGGTCTTTTTCACTTTCTAGTAAAAAGACATGAGTATTATTATAGTAGTCTTTCAATGATTGTAGGACAAAAGATTCAAATCCTTCTGGGTGTTTAGATTCTAACAATTTATGATAAATTTTAAATGATTTTATGAGCAAAGGAACCAGTGATTGATCACCAGTATCTCTAAAATTGTTCAATGTTAACGAAAAGGCATTCTCTATTATTTCAGCCAGATCATTCTTTTCATGAATTTTATTCAGATATGTCAACATTGCAAACTTTGTGAAACTTGGTTTTGTTGGATGGTTCAATAAGTATGTTCTATCTAAATACAGATGTATCTTCTCAAGAGCTGTGACTTTTATATCAACAACATGAGAAAGTTCCACAAACTTCTGTAGCAGCTCTATTTCATCTAAGGACAGCCCGTGCTCTTGTAAAACATCCACAATATTGTTCAAGAATGCATCAAATTTGTCATATAGATTAACCGTTAATTTTGATTGTTGTTTATCACGGCACAAAAACTCCACATATCTGAACAATCTTTGATAGCTGATGGTAACGGGAGCTGTTGGCGTTGGATCTCTTAAAATTAAGTCAATTTGACCATTTAATTGTTCATAAACAGAATTCAAATAAGGGGAACTAATAGATTTGGGTCTAGATGATATTTTAGTCTGTCTTGAGATACTAGCTGACATGATAACTCTTGTTTCACTCAATGAATTTATATATGAGAGCCAGTTTAGTTTTCCCAATACAAATGATAATCACTTCAGATAAAAATTTAGACAACGAATAGTTTAGGATCAGGTAGAATGTTGAAGATTTAAAGGAAGTTAAATGTGTACTGTAAATACTCTATAGTCATAAAATTTGGGTATAAAGTTATGGGTTAAGCATCGCGAAAGCAGTCGCGAACCTATTTTGCTATAATAAAATTTACGTCAACTTTCAAATATAAACAATAATTGCTTCTTTCCAAACAAAAACACAGAAAAAGTGCAAATTGTTGCTACTGGTGATAATCTTTGTTGTTTAAGATACCTTCAAAATGTCCACTAATGATGCGAAAAGTTTGAGTATCTCGTACAAGAGAAAGGGTTATTTTGATGAGAAAAGAAGTGCAATACTTGAGCACTTCAAAACAACAGAAGCACACGATGAACTATTGGCCACCATCAAGGCTATTGTGGACCGTATAGTGCGCAAGAATCCTGAACTACTATTAAAGAACAAAGGTCAACTTGCTGCTCTTATTGAAGGTACTATTAGTCGCCAAGTTCAAAACGGTAGTATCTCTAATAATGCTGGTGTTATACCGAGTGCTAATGACAAGGATTTGGATCTTGGTGATGTTAAGAACGTCTATGATATATTCGATGAAGAAGTCAAACAAAGCACTATAGGTTCAGATGAATTAAAGGAAGAAATTAGAAACGTGCTGAAAGAGTTGAAAGAAGCATAAGTCATGATAAACTAGTATTATGCATATTACCTAAGACATGGGATTTTACATATAAGGCTAGCATGTTCAAATGGAGTTATATTATATCGGTACTCAACAATGCTATATTATTGATATCAATCGTATCGTTGTGTCAAAACGTCCAAAGGGAATTAAGACTTGCATTTTTAACTGCTTATTTGGTGGTTGAATAATTGTTTCGTACAAACATCAGAGCATGGATGGTACAATCAGCAGGTCTACTGAACATCTATAGGTATTCTTCTCAAAATATAAACACTTTAGAAGTCTAGTGGTTGTACTTTGTAGCTCATAAATCAATGGTCTTAAATGAGTTCATCACCAGCCCTCAGTTCAGCAAGTTCCGGTTGAGCCACACCATTCTCTGTTTTTTGGCTTTGATGAGCGAATATCCACAAAAACGATAAGAAAGCTTGAGATTCTGAGATTTTGAACTTTTACCATTCATCTTCTAAAAGACACAATTATCAGTACAAACAAGTTTCATAGACAAAGTCACTCGTTACAATATCAATATGAAGCTCACATTGACTACACTACTTTCAATTACGGCTGCTTCAGCTTATCTGTTGCCAGTGAACATCCCAAATTCTCAAGAGATTTTCTCTCTGAAAAGTCCGAATGCTAATGAAGGCGCTTTATCAAATGATAACACTCCTTACAACGAGTTGCCATTAATTGAAACTGAAAAATTACAAGATTTGATCACTTTAGATGCTTTGAATGAAAGTGCTATTGAACTTTATAACATTGCCACTTCCTCTGTTAAGAATTATGGTCATCCAACAAGGGTTATCGGTTCTCCTGGTCATTGGAAAACAATTGGTTACATTATCAAAGAACTTAAAGAATTATCAAACTATTTCACATTCACTACTCAAGAATTCAAAGCTTTAGATGGTAAAGTTTTCAGCTATTCATTATCTGTCAATGACACCAAAGTTGAACAAGTTAAACCATTCCAATTAACTCCAGCTGCTCATGTCGCTGGTGGTGAATTAGTCGCTGCAAAAAATAATGGTTGTGCTAAAGAAGATTATGAAGGTTTAGACCCAAGTAAAAATCAAGTCGTTTTAGTTCAAAGAGGTGTCTGTCCTTTTGGTGATAAATCAAATATCGCTGGTGAATTAGGTGCCAAAGCTGTCTTAATATATGACCATACTGATGGTGAATCATTAATTTCTGGTACTTTAGGTGAACCAACTAATCATACCATTGGTACATTAGGTATCCAACGTAATTTTGCCTTAGCTTTGTTAGAATTAGTTGCAGCAGGTGAAAAGGTCCCAGTTGATGTTATAATTGATGCTTATGTTGGTTTAATTAAAACTAAAAATGTCATTGCAGAAACTATTGAAGGTGATCATGAAAATGTTGTTGCTTTAGGTGCTCACAGTGACTCCGTTGAAGCAGGTCCAGGTATTAATGATGACGGTAGTGGTACCATCTCTCTTTTAGCTGTTGCCAAACAATTGACCAAATTTAAAATTAATAATGCTGTTCGTTTTGCTTGGTGGGCTGCTGAAGAAGAAGGTTTATTAGGTTCAAATTATTATACTCAAACCTTATCAGCAGAAGAAAATCAAAAAATTAGATTATTCATGGATTACGATATGATGGCTTCACCAAACTTTGAATACCAAGTTTATAATGGTTCAAATGCTGTTAATCCAAAAGGTTCTGAAGAAATTAAGAATTTGTATATTGACTGGTATGAAGAACATGGTAAGAATTGGACTTTAATTCCATTTGATGGTCGCTCAGATTATGTTGGATTTATCGAAAATGGTATTCCAGGTGGTGGCATTGCTGCTGGTGCAGAAGGTAAAAACTCACAAAATGGTAAAGTTTTAGATCAATGTTACCATTTGTTATGTGATGATTTAACTAACTTGAACTGGGATGCATTCTTGACCAATACCAAATTGATTGCTCACAGTGTTGCAGTATATGCTAAAGATCTTTCAAACTTTCCATCTAGAGAAACTTTTGCTGTTACTTCTGAAAGCAGTCTAGGCCATGAACCATTTGAATACAAAGGTTCACATTTATTCCTTTAGATCATATAATTACAATAGATTAATCAAAGATAATACCATACATGACTTGTATACTGTATAAGCCAATTATATCAGTACACAATGATTATTTATAAACTTCACTGTATGCGATAAAATTTATACATAGATCCAATCTACGCAATGGTTACTTATTTACTTTTGCGATGTTTTCCATTGTTTTATATACAAATATATTACTTATTAAAACCCACTTCTTCTTTTCTTTCCTCTATTATCTTTAAATTTGGCCCCTCCAGTTTTAAATTTAAAACCACCACCTTGACCGAATCCTCCAAAATTCATAAAATTATGACCATTACCAAATGGATTATGTGCATTTCCACGTCTAAATGGACTACCACCACCACCTCCACCAGATTCATGATCATTTGGATCATCACCTCTATCATACCTTTCTCTTAATTCAGGATCTGAAAGAACTTCATAAGCACTATTAATTTGTGCCATTTTAGCATCAATTTCTTCTTGTGGTAAATCACCTTTATATTTATCAGGATGATATTGTTTTGTCATTTCTCTATATGCTTTTCTAATTGTTGGTTGATCTGCATCTTTTGAAATATTCAACAGTTTATAATAATCATTTTTAGGTTTTTTTGGTTGTTGTTGTTGTTGGAAATATTGTTGACGTTGTTGTTGTTGCTGTTGTTGTTGATATTGACGTTGTTGACGTTGTTGTTGTTGATTATGTGCATTTATTTTTGAAGCTCTTGATTGATAATGATGTGAATGTTTACAATTTGAATTTAAAGCTTGAATTAATTGTGTTGCTTGTTGAAATTGATTATTCTTGATAAAATTGTCAACTTTAATTAAAACTAATGGTAAAAAAGTTTCTGATGCATTTGGAACTATGTTATCTAATTGTTTAATTAATGTTTTCAATCCTCTGTGATCATTATTGATGAATGCATTATAAATTAATGTTTTTAAGACTGTTAATTCCAAATGGTTATATTTGATCCCATAACGTTTGTTAAATTCTTTTGATCTATGTAATAAATAATCATTATTGGTTTTGAAATTATCATTCTCTCTTCTAATCTTATAAAATTCTGAAGGATTTAATAACAAATTAACACCTTGTTTGATACCATCATCAGAAAGATCAAAAGTTTCTTCATTTTCTTCCTTTTCATCCAAATATGTAAAATATTTATGAAAGTTTGATAAATTCTGTAATAATGTTCCATATTTATTGATAAATTTTGAATTCCTTTTACATTCTGAATTATCGAAATCATAATGAAGACATTTTTTGTTATGATTCAATGCATGTTGAGCTTCAACAAGGCCAAAAAGATGAATTTCTGATAATTCATTAATGTAATTCAAATTATTAACAGGATTGGTTTTTATAAGACTTGTCATATCATCAACTAAATCTAAGAATTTCAAATAATCACCAGTTTTTTGAATATCTTGAGTGGTTAGTTCAATTCTTTTTGATCGTAGTGAAGAGTCTAATGGTGATATATTGATAGCTTCATTCAAATCTGTCAAATTACCTGTTGATACTAAAGTATCAACTGTATTAACTGAATTTAAAGCATCCAAATAACTTTCATCTTGATCAGCAAATAAAGATTTCAAAGAGTATAATCTATCCTTGAGACCATATTTAACACACAATTCCAATAGATTTTTTTTAACAACTGGATTTGAAGGATTTAATTCTAATGATTTGATTAAATTCTCAATAGAATTTAAATCTTTCCCCAAACTCAATTCAACAAGAGCTTTCTTATAATAAATCTTACCCAGTATTGTCTGGGATTCCTTGTCAGCACCCTTTTTAGTATCCTCAGATATATTTATTTCTTTTATGAGTACATCATAATTATCTAAAAGTTCTAATGAAGGACCACTTTGTTGAAACTTTAGATCTATATTTGATAGTTTGGTATTGAAATCATTTGAAGATGCAAAAACTATACTCGAAAGCAACGATATAAGCAAGATACTTGGTTTCATTTGACACAAGTGAATGATTAAAGACCTTGATTTAACTAAGCCGTTGTAATCTATGATTTTATAAATATTTTCGAAGTTTCCAAAAGTTTAATAAAGAGATGATGTGTCAAAAAAACAATTAACACCAAACAGTGTGCCCACCAACAAACGCGAAAATTATAAATTTGATTCGCGAATCGCGAAATCCAACGTCTTTGAATATTATGTCAGAACTTATGCAATCATACGCGATTTTTTCTTAAATTTCCTGACCAGTTATGGAGTAGAACAGCGAGACTTGAAATCTTGAATAAAATCCGGTAAGAGCAGCATTGAACGTTATGCTGCAATCGATTGCGAGCGGGTTTTTGATAAAAAATCGGTAAACTTGGGGTCGATCGCTATAAGAAGCTGATTACTATCAAGGGTACATCTCACACTTTCCTTATCAATTAAAACTATTAGATTATGTAAATGATAGATCCACTAGAATTCAGATTTGGAAAGCGCTTAAAGTTATTTCATAGTAAACTAATGATTATGTTGCCTAAAATAGGAAACAGAGCTCCGTGAAGCTTGATTATTTACTATAATGAAATATATTTGAGATTATCATTGATCCTTATCATTAATATAACATCAACATATATAAAGCCATACATAATTCCTTTATAAAAGTATAATTGAATATAGTTCATTAGATCATCATCTTCAAAAGATTATAATTTATACAAAGTTCAAAAATGACTACTGGATCACAACAACAACAAGTTTTAGCTCCACAACAAAAAGCTATCTACCAAACCCATTTCAAAGCATTACCATTAGTTGCTGGCGGTAAAGGTCAACACATTGATGTTGTTGATCCAAATACTGGTGAGCAAAGAACCATTCTTGATGGTTGTTCAGGTGCCGCCGTTTCTTCAATTGGTCATGGTGATGAAGAAATTAGACAAGCTATGAAAGATGCCGCTGATGATGTGGTTTACAATTTCCCAATTTTAATGGCAAACAAACAATCCGAAGCTTTAGCTCAATATTTAATTGATATTTCTCCAGAAGGTGCTTTTGAATCTGCATTAATCACTGGTTCAGGTTCAGAATCTATTGAAAACACTTTGAAAATCATTAGAAAATACCATCTTACTAATGGTGATACTAAAAGAGTTAAGTTTCTATCAAGACATCAATCATATCATGGTTTCACAATTGGTGCAATGTCTATTGCTGATAATGCAAGAGTTCGTGAATTTGAAGATATCTTAATCCCAAGGGAAATCTGTCCAAAAACATCAGCTTGTTACCCATATAGACACCAAAAGAAAGGTGAAACTACAGAACAATATAAAGATCGTTTATTAGCTGAATTAGAAGAATCATTTCAAAAAGAAGGCCCAGAAACTATTGGTGCTTTCATTGCTGAAACTGTTACAGGTTCAACTTTTGGTTGTAACCCACCAATTCCAGGTTATTTAGATGGTGCTCGTGACATTTGTCACAAACATGGTGCTTTATTCGTTTTAGATGAAGTTATGTGTGGTATGGGTAGATCTGGTACTGTTCATGCTTGGGAACAATTCTTAGAAGGTCCAGGTCCAGATATTCAAACCATTGGTAAAACATTAGGTGCTGGTTATGTTACCGTTGCAGGTATTTTAATTTCACCACAAGTTATGAAATTATTTAGAGACAACAATGCTCCAATTGCAGGTGCTCAAACTTATCATCAACATTCTTTCAATTCTCAAGTTGCCTTAGCTGTTCAAAAGAAGGTTATTAGAGATGGTTTAATTGACAACATTAGAAAAACTGGTAACTACTTGGGAGCTCAATTTGCAGAAGTATTAAAAGATAACAAACACGTTGGTAACGTTCGTGGTGTTGGTGGTTTCTGGGCCATTGAATTTGTCAAAGATAAAGCAACTAAAGAACCTTTCCCAGCTGATGTTAAATTTGCTCCACAATTTGCTGCTAAATTATATGAAAATGGTGTTTTCGCTTTATGTGCTGGTGGTACAGTTGATAGTAAAGTTGGTGATCATGCTTTATTCTCTCCAGCTTTCTCATTAACCAAAGAAGAAGCTGATGAAATTGTTGCTGCTGTTAAAAAGACCTGTGACCATTTGGATTCAATTTACTAAGCATGTTCTTATTTTTGATCTATTATAGTACTTGAGATTTTTTCTAGTTTGAGTTGAATCTGGTATTCATTCATATTTAATAATTATTTAATATCATATATATATATATACGTATAATTTGTTTTTCATTATTATATTGTAAGAAGGAGCCATCCAAGAAGTATTTAAATTTTATACCAAATTCCGTGGTGCCGTTACCAGGGAAACCACCAAAGAAAAACAAAAAAAAGATCTTAGAAGTTAGTACTTAAAATTTATATCGTTTTTGTGTCACTTTTCTTCAATTTCAAAGTCCTGGCCGTTAAAAAACACAAAATGCGTTTCAAACAAATAACACGACAGTTAAAATGGTGAACTTGCAATATATCTGCGACTGACTGATTAATGCAAGATCTCATTCACTATGCTTGAAGATAATCAAGATCAGGATGGCAAGCCAACATGTTTTGTTCATGAAATGAGAAATGACACCGATTGGATCAACTTCAAAAGAACTATGGTCAGAGCTCCTCAAATCTTCAAGCAAAAGGTAAATTGTGGTGCACAGCTCCCTTTAGATGAAACATACGAAAAGTTAAATGGTGAATTCATTTCATTGACTGATAGAGTAAAGTTGCTAGAGACGGAGGTTTTAAGGTACATATCCCATATCAAATCATTTTTGAATCATTCTACATGTACAGGGGAGGCTCTTTTAAAATTATTCGATCCACAATTTGATCAGAGTGGTTATGGAACTTCAAATGTGAAATCTAGATCTGATGAAGAAGGGATATTTAGCAAAACAAGTAACTTTGTTGAACAAAGCGTGAATATTTCCAATCTTATTGAACCTGATTTAACAATAATCACTGATAATGTTGTTATCCCATTGACAAGGCTAATCTCTTTGACAAAGAGCATCAAGAAATGCCTGAAAGAGAGAGAATTTGCTTTTTTGGATGCAAATAAATATCTAAATGACTTTCAATCTTTAAACTCTAAAGATAAAACTTTGTTGACATTGAAACAGCAGCAAAATTTGATAAGGTATGAAAAGAATCACGAGGTATCAAAACTCAAATTTGAGCAGATTAATGAACTATTAAAAAAGGAACTTTCAACATTTTTGAAATTGGCGTATGAATTGATAAGACCATTACATGTTATTTTTTATTATCTTCAACTTTCAATCAATTACCGTGTTTTCCAGCAACTTGATAAGCTAAAGAATACCGAGGCCAAAACTAAAGTTAAAGATACTACACCAGAAGAGTTTAATAATGTTATTTCAGCAGAATTTTATTCACGCCAAAAATCTGCTAAAGATATCATTGAAAACTTATCATTATTAAGATCACCATTGTTGTACAAGTTCGATGATCATAAGAAACTAGATGATTTGCAACCTGAACCTTTACAATCACCACCGGCTTATTCTCTGGATCTGAATGAAAGCCTCGATGATACGTATTGCATTGCACGCTATGCATATCAAGCTCAACAAGAAGGTGACTTAAGTTTTGCTAAAGGAGAACGTATTAAGGTGATTGATAAAAGCCTTGGTGTTTGGTGGAAAGGTGAATTAGACGATGGGGCTGTCGGTCTTCTTCCTAGTAATTATGTCACATCAATAAAAGGGTAACTACAAGCTCTTATATATTAACTAGCGTGATATTGTTTGTGCTACACTGTTGGGTATTCTAACATGGAATCATTAATTATCATAATTATAGTACATTTTTTTTTTTTATTTAATATACAGTTTTTTTTTTCTATTATTATTGACGTTATTAGGCAAAAACATCTTCTTGTTCAGCCTCTAAGCTGACCTTATGTTCAAGCTCATTGAAAGCAATGAAATGATTTGGACGGTGTAATTCATGGTAAAATTCAACTGGAATATCAATTTTTAAATCATATTCAAGTTCAGGGTTAAATCTGGTTCCCATAAAAGAATAATTCCAAATACTTGTACTTGGGACTAAGAAATTACCCATAATATTACTTGATAAAATCAGCTGACCAATATCACCAAATTCTGGCTTGAATCCTTCTGGTGCAATATCAATGTTCTTATTTTGACGACCCCATTTATAACCTTCAGGGGTTAAAGTGAAACAGCTTAATGATACAGAACCAGTAGTCAATGAAACAGCAATATCAACCAGATCAGTATTCTCATCATCAAATAATTTGGAATGAGTTGTAACATCACTTGCGGACATATAATTGAATTCTTGTGATTGTGTATGGATCCAGCCCAATAATTCTAGACCTTCTAACCAATTAGACTCTTGTAACTTACTTAAATGTAAAGCATTTATGGACCCTGTTTGTGGAGGTAAAACAATTGATTTTATTTCCTTGATCTTATCATTATCAGCAGGTGATGAACCAAAAATATAACCACCAATTTGTGTTCTTGTATCTGAAATTTGAATGAATTTTTTCAACATATTATTTGGCATGATGTATGTAGTTTTATCTTCAACAAAATCATCAGATGCAACATAAATATTTTTGGTACGCATATGTAACAAAGAAGCTGAGATGGCCAATTTACGCCACTCAGTTTTGGATGTAAATGATTGTTGTTCATAATTACTTGAAACGTGAGCAACAATTTCTTCACCGTGAGCATTTCTAGTCTTGACTTTAACACCTGTCAATGCTTCTTCATTTTGACCTTCAATTTCTGCAATTTCTTGTCTCTTAGCAGAAGGTGCCTTGATATCTTGACCTAAAATCAAATCTCTAATTTCAGCTTGAGTTAAAGATGCAATATTGATATTATGTTTCTTACCATAATCATTCAAAATCAAGTCACGTAGTTTTGTTTCAACATCAACCCATTGATTATCAGTGAATGATGGCCAAATATGATGTTCTTGAGTAATGACAGAGCTATCCGGACGTAAAATTAATTTAGTGCGTTCAGTATTGACATTTAATGCACGTAACAACAAGATCAAACGTGAGAATGCAGTATAAGATGAAATAGACTTCAACCAATCATCATATAAGTTAAACAACACCATTTGAGGTTCAGTAGCTTTCAAAACTAAATCTTGTAATTTATCAATCTTCAAAGCAGCAGCAAATGGTAAACTCAATTCTGATGGTCTGATTGAAATATTTGGAAAATCCAACATATGCACTTCTAATGGATCCAACATTGATCTTCTTGTGATAATCAATTGTTTAGGTTGTTCTTCACTTGGTAAGGAACGAATCAAAGCAGCAACTTCTTCAGCTGTCTTCCATTTAGCTAATTGACCTAAACGTTTTTGACCTGACCAAACTGAAGTATGGATGACTTTCAAGAACAATTGACCAGTCTTTGGGTTCAAAATGAAAATTGCACCATTGATTGGTTTTGTAGTCAAGTTACCTTCAACAGTTCTGTGAACAGTAACACGATAAACATTAGTATCATCAATAAAAAGTTGTGTATCATTACTGAAAAGTTCTGCATAATTGTTGGAATTCAAAAACGCCTGTTGTGGTTGAGCTTGATAAAGTTGAAGACCTTTTCTAATACGTTCACGTAAAACATATAATGATGGATTAGCTTTCATAATTGTCTTCATTGCACTTTGCATCAAAGGTTTGAAACCTGGGAACCAGGAACCATAAGCATCATACATATTGTAAGCCAAATCAATACCAACTAAAACACCTGTTGGTGATGGATACAAATCATCATTTGTATAATCCAAAAACTTAGCACGAACATAACGTGAAATATCATGAGAGTCATAATCACCATAACGCAACTGAACATCAACCCAAAATTTATCACTAGATGTAACAGTCATATCATCATTTGTATCATGGAGCAATGAAGGGGAACTAGCACCCCATCTGTATGAACCATTGATTGTAATATCTGCTGTTGATGAATTCATCTTGTATGATTTACGTGGATGAATTGACTCCTTTTGAACACTATCAATTTGTAATACTTCTAATTCACCATCTAAAACTTGACAAAGATCAAAAACAACACTTTCATGAATTTTTTGCCATAAATGAGCACGGAAGATTTGAATCAAGGAAATCTTCAAAGTTGGGATTTTACCATGTAAGAAAATACCAGTCAAATCTAATTGGACTAAGAAACCAACATAAACATTAGCACGATTAATTGTTGGTGACCACCACAAAGTGAAACGACGATTTGGAATTTGACTTAAACCAGATCTTTGGGCATTTGTCAATTTTTTGAACTTCAATGAATCTTCAAAACCACTAGCTTTCTCCCAGAATAAACCTTCCCATGAATCAAAACCTGTTGCTTTGAATAACGTATGTTCCAAAATTGTTTCAATACCACCTAATGCTTGGATAACATCTGTACGATATGCGTTCAAGTTCCATAATTTACCATCATGATGACTACTTGTCCACCAGTATGGATTGAAACGAGCTAAAGAAAATTGCTTGAATTCACGACGAATACGATGACCTTTATCATAAGCAAGAGTGTGACGATCTTTTTGAAACAAAGTACTAATTCTTGGAATACCTCTATCCCATGAACCTTCTAATTCTTCAAATGCCAAACGACGGTTTTGTTGTAAAGCTTCTTGACGCTTAATAGCATAATCAGCCCAAACTCTTTGAGAATCCAAAAATTCGTTCTCCCATGATGTAATATATCTGAAAATTGTTGGAATAATCTTTTCTTCAGGATGTGACATACCAGAACGGAAATGAGTAATACCAGCATCGGTTTGTTTAGACCAACTTAAATCTGATGCAGGAATCAAAATATGTGAAGCACTTAACATACCTAAACCACCCAATTCCTTTGGAGTATAGAAAACTGCTGGAGGAAAACGAGTAGGCATTTTAGAATTCAAACCAACTTTAACACGAGTTTGTATTTTAGTTTCACATTTAACCAAAACGTCTAAAAGAGCTTCAGTTGATACTGCAGCCTCTCTGAAGTATGTAAATAAAGACATTAACGCAGTATTCCATTTTCCTGCAATCTTTGTGAATGTTGTAGATCCTGAAGACATCAAAATTTGACGAATACGGTTATGGAATTTTTCAATTTCTTCTTCTGTAACTTGAAGGAATGCCTTAGCAGTACGTTGTTTTGTGTTTTGATCAATTAAATCCCAAACACCTTCAGTAGATGATGTAACTTCTTCCATTCTTGATTTTGGTAATATTCTAATTTCAAATCCACATAAAGTGAATAACAAGTTTGGATTATCTTTACTATAAACCGAAGCAAGTGTATCTTCCCATTGAACTGTAGCTAAAGCTCTTGGAATGCGGCCTTGAATTTCCCAGAAAACAGCTCTACCAAGATTAACATCTTGACGCATCAATCTCATACGACTATCTCTTGGCCAACAACGACGATTATTGTAACCAATGATATTTTCAAAGTTTGGATCTGGATTTTCTGATAAGAATGCTTGAATCAAATCTTGAGCATCCTCTTCCTCAAATCTGAAAAAAATATGAATCTTATCAATGTAACGAGAATATAGTCTTATTGGACTTGAAGTTTCTTGTTCCAATGATTTGAATTGTAAAAACTCATTTGGTGAATTTCCAGGACCTGCAAGTTCACTAGCACGATCAAGACCTAAAATCAACAAATCTAAAACTAAACCATAGTATTGGAAGACAAAAGATGAGAATTGTAGACCTCTGATTAAACCATATTTATTAACATGACTCATATCTTTGTAAGATAGACCAATATTATTTTTAGCTGTGATATAATCAGCAATATTTGAATCAACAATCAATCTTAACAATCTATTAAGTAATGTAAAATCAACTTTCTCTGCAATCTTGTTTAGAGAAGTTTGTAACATAACATTAGATTGACCTTTTGATGTATCCCAAACGTCATTCAAATTATTAATACCTTGACACCATTTGTAAACAAGTAATGGTGGAATTTCGGCATCACTTGGCTTGATCCAATTTGGAAATAATTGTCTCTTATCACCTTCATACCACAAATATTGATCAAGGTAAGCATCTGTAATTTTTTCAAGAGGATCAACTTCATAAACTGGTGTTAATTGATGGTATTGATCTAATAATTCAATACTAACATCTTTGAAAACCCTTTGAGTTAATAAAAATTTCTTAATTCTACTCAAACATTCATGTGGATTATCATAAGCTTGTTCAATCAAAGCTAATTCTTCTCTTTGACTAGCATTCAAACGACCTTTTGCATTATATGATTCCTTTAAATTTTCCAAAGCTAAAACCAATAATTTTGTATCATGTTTATAACTTAAAGGTGGGAATGGGATTGGTGCAAAATTTCTACTTTCAAACCAATTAACCATTGTTCTGAAAATTGTAGTAGCTTCATTTGGTGAAATTGCTGGACCATCTTTTTCAACATTTTGTTGACGTTCTTGTTCATTCTTGATCCATAATCTAGTCAAACGACCCAAATTTTTTCTAGCAACAGTTTTCTCAACAGTAGCACCACGTTTTATACGATCTCTATTATAATGAGCAGCTGAAGTCCAACCATCAGCTTTAGCTTTTACATAACGTTCTATAATTTTTTCTATTGGTTCAGGTAATCCAGGAACTTTCCAAGGAATATTAGCTTTCCAACATCTCCAAGCTTCAGTCAAATGTTGTAAAATAGTTTTAGCCTTATTTTGTTTAATACCTTCTGGAATCATATCTAAAATATCATTCATAACAGCAGCTCTTAATTCTAAATCATAATAAGCATCGGTTCTTTGTTTTGTAACAGTTTTAGCAACTTCATTTGAACGACCTTCAAATTGACGAGCTAATAAGTTACCTAACCATCTTTCAAGTAATGGAATAATACCTCTAAGGAAAAATAACCAAACTCTCCATGCAGGTTGCCAGAACCCACAACCTGGACCTTTACCGATAACATTATTAAATCTATAATAAACAACATGTTTTAAATCTTTACATGCACGGATTTGATGCATGACTTTATACTTGTAACGATAAATACCAGTTAATTGACCTAAATGATTTAAAATGTAATAAATACCATCAGCTAATTGGAAAGCATCAACATTACCAAGACGGAATTGAACTTGAGCATCAACTAAAAGTTTAATAACTTTTAAAATTTCTCTCATTAAATGGAATGCATTACCAAATCTTGATTTTTTTCTTTCTTTAGTTGTTAAAGTTTTTGTTGGTTTTAAATTAAAATTATAATCAAGATGTAAATAAGTTAAACCTTTACGATGAATTAATAAATTCAACATATTAAAACCTTGACGACAAACTTGTAAACCAGCTTCAACCCAATCAATAGTAGTACTTTGGAAATATTTTGTATTTTTTAAACTTTTCAAAAGATGAATTTTACGATGATTTGATGACGGTGCTTTATGAAGTTCCTTTAAAACATGAGTTTTCAATAATTTTTGATATGAGACTCTGGTCTTCACAGGTAATTCATGATCTGGACGTTCTAAATACCAATTTTTAATCAGGGCAACATCTTGTGCACGTTTAGTATTACCAGAGCGACGATTGAATGGATAAGGTGCCCACCATAAATCAATTGCACTTGCTGTATTATCAGGTTCAACTTCTTTATCAGCTAAAAATGGTTTGAAATCCAAAGGTAATGTAAAATCATCTAAATCTTCACCAGTTTCTTCATTGAAGATATCTTTTTCAGTATCTGTTTTCAAATTTGAAACTGATCTTGGTGATATTGGATTTAATAATGGATCAAAATAAAATGCTGGTAAATCTGGATCATCAGGTTTAATATAACAATTAACTGGGTCTGAATACCATGGAATATAAACTGATCTTGGATATGAATTGTATAAATGTGGGAATGCAACTTTATATTCTGTCCTTATTGGTATTCTTAAAATTATTCTATCTATAGAATTAAATTCATTAAAATCTTCTTCTTCAACATCTTTATATAAAGGTTCAAATTTTGGACCACCAGGAATAGCATTATTTAAAGCTTTAGCAGTGAAAAATGATCTTTTATCGAAAAGATAAAAATAATTTTTATTAACAATATCAGATAATAAAGGATTTGATAAACGATGTAAATTAATCATTTGATTTAAATTTAAATTCCATTTTCTATAAGATTCACCATTAACAAAATCCAATTCATCAATCAAAGGTTTTGAATCATAAAACCAATCAATAACATGTTCATCATCAACTTCATCCAATTCTAATTGAATAGATTCTAAAGGTTCTAAATCTTGTAAATTTTCATTCCAATCTAATGGAGGTTCTTCATCATCAAAAGGTGGGAATCTCATTCTTTTAAAATGACGTCTATCTCTTTTTTCACGTCTCATCATTATCCACATTGAAGCCCATTGTGCAGTATAAATTGGTTCAATAACTCTTGGAATTTCATTAACAAAAGTTATAGCACCAGTAATATGATATAAAACTTTAACTTCTTTTGTTTGTTCCCAAGGTTGTGGCATATTTTCTAATAATTTTAATATAGCATGAGGCATATATTTTAATGAACCTAAAAATGAACGTTTATCAGATGCAAATTTTTTTGAAGACATATCACCATGATCAAATATAATTTTACGTAAATGTTCAGGTGGCATATCAACTTTTTGTGGATGAACAAATGTACCTGTTTTAGAACGAACTTCTGTATAACGTTTTTTCTGTAATTGTAACCATTTACGTTTCTTAATATCTAATTCTTCTTTATTAAATGATGATGATGATGTTGGTGGAGCTGGTGGTTTTGATGATGGTGGGGGAGGTGGTGGAGGTGGTAAAGGAAATCCATTACCAGATGGAGGAGGTGGTGGTGGTGGGAATCCTCCATTACCATTACTTGGAGGTGGAGGTGGTGGTGGTGTAGGTTGCCATCCAGGTGGTGGAGGCAAATCACTCATTATAACTTAATATTCAATTATTGAATCCAATATATAATACTTTTTTAATTTTAATATAATATAGTCAGAAATTATTAACAATTTATAGCTTTTATTTGCTATTTCTGATTAATTGAGTTGAATATTGGATCTTGAATGATTTTTAGTTATGATTGATGAGTTGTTGATTAAATGAAATTGTATGTTTGATACTAGATCTTTATTGTTTATATATGAATTTTTGTATAGTACATAAACTTTTTACCGTGAAGAAAAAAAAATCGCGAACAATATTAACATCCAAACACCATCATATAAACTACATACAAAATTAAGACCAACATTGAAATTTAAATTAGGTTACGTTATATTCATTAAAGTCTAGCTATATTATATATGATTACCTTGTAATCCCATTCATTTTATTTTTCGCTTCTCTTGCAATCATTTTAGCTTCTTCAATTTCTTGAGATGTACCACTATTCATATCCATTGCATAAAAATAAGCATTTTCCCAATTTCCTAAATTTTGTTCATATTTAGCTAACCATAATCTTGCTTGAGATGTAAGATCATTTTTTTGATTATTTTCTAATTCTTCATTTAATACTTGTTTCATAAATTCATAACAATTTGATAATTCATTTAAATTTTCAAAAATTTTGGCAATTCTAAATAAAATTGTAACATCTTTTGAAATTTCTGAATTATTATTTAAAAATAATGATTTTTTATAACATTTTATTGAATCTTTAAATTTTGATAATTTATCATAACAATTACCTAAAGCTTGCCAAATTCTTGAATCTAAAGGTTTTAAATAACATGCTTTTTGATAATAATATAATGAATACAGATGCATATCTAAAATTTCATAAGCTTGACCTAAACCATACCAAGCTTTAAAGTCTTTTTGATTTGTATCCACGGCACGTCTATAAGATTCAATAGCAGCATGAGTATTTTTCAATTCAACAAATTCATGACCCATTAAAGTCCAAGCTGAAAGACAATTTCTATTTAAAACTAAAGCACGTCTATAATACATTATGGCTTTTTCATGTTCAAATTTTAAAGAATAATAATTTGCCACAATACAACAAGTTTCAGGTCTAAATTTATCAATTGAACAAGCTAATTGAGCTAAATAAGATAATTTTGATCTTTTTTGCATAACATAAAGAATATTTGAATATAAATCCATATCATCTAATCTTAAAGGATCATTTGTTAATATATCATCAAATATTAATTCACATTCTGTATATTCTAATGCATGATATGAAATTAAAGCTTTTTGAATTTTTATAAATGAAAAAATTGGGAAAATTTCTAATAATTCATTTAATTGATTATATAATTCTGGAGTTTGTTGGAAAAATTCTTGTAAACAATTTAATTTACCTAATTTAATCATTATTAATTCACTGAATTTTGTTGAATTAGGGAATGATTGATGGAAAAAAGATTCTAAATTTTGGAAAATGTTTAAAGCTTCATCAATATTTGAAATTGAATGAATTAATTCTAACCAACAACTCCAATTGAAAGGAAATTGTTTTAAACTTGTAATTAATGCATCTTGTGCTAAACTTGTGGATTTTTGTTTTAATAAAGTAATACCATAAAGATAATTTATAAAAGGGTTTTTTTTATATGATTTATCCTTATTGAAAAGTGATTCAATTTCTTTCAATATTATTGGAATACTTTTATTTGAAGAGTTTAAATCATTTGAACCAAGAGCACCTTCACTTTCTTGTTCTCTTTTTAAATCACCAGAAATTAATAAAGAATATAATTTTAAAAAAATACAATTTGAATTTGTTGAATTTTTTAAAATTGTATAACAACGATCAAATTCTTTACAATCAAAATAAGTTTTAGCTAATTCAAACTGGTCATGATCTTTTGAATTTAATCTGATTTGATATATTGTGGGTATTGGAGTTGTTTCCTCATCTTGTATTAAATCAACATCACTTTCTTCATCATCATCAATTTTCATACCATTTAAAGCTTCAGCAGACCATTTAGCGGCTTGATATAATTTTAAACTTGATAGTGTAGAAATGGAACTGCGTAAGTGTGATCTGAGTTGATTGATTTCGTTCATTGTAATCAGTTATTCCTTTGAACCACTTTGATCTGATCTGATCTAGTTTAATACACTTTTTTGTTTATTCAATTGAAATCAAAACAATCAAAATTACGCGAATATTCAAATATAAAAAAACAAATCCTTCAATTTTTAAACACAGCGGTAAACACAGCGGTAAACAAAAATCAAAATCAAATTTAAAATGAGTTTTTTACAAATCGGTTCAGATGTCAATGAAAATGACACTGCGATAACAATTTTAAGTGAAGAATTAGAAAATTTAGAAAAAAGTTTTAATAAATCTTTGGAAACAATTGAAAATTTAATTAAATTTTATCAATTAGATGATGAACAACAAGCACAAGATATATATAATACCATAATTAATGAACCTATCCTTATAAATAAATTAAATTCTCAAATATATCAAAATGAAAAAACATATCAATTAAAATATCGTGAAGAATTAAATAAAATTATCAAGATTCATATGGATTCATTTGATAAAATTCAACCAAATTTAGAATTAATTTATGATCAATATATTAAAAATCAAAGTATAAGTGAATTAAATAATGATATTGATGAAATAACTCCTTTTGAATTATCACAAGATGAATCAGGTTCAAAACAAGAATTATCATTAGATTTAAATAAACAACAATTATTAAAATTAATTGAATTAGAAAAATTTAAAAGATTTAAAATTCAAGTTATAAATGAAAAAATTTATGAACCAAATATTAAAAACAAGGAGAAATCATTTGAAATTTGGAGTAATAGAGAAAGAGATTTAAAGAAATTTTTTAATATTGATTTAGAAAATATGAATAAAAAAATTCAATTAGTTAAAAAGACTGAGAATTTAGAGATATAATATACAATTATGAATATCATAGAATATATATTAAATTAAATGTAAATATTAAGCTTTTGTTACAACTTTTTCATCAATTTTATTTACATTAGCACCTGGTGCAACATCTTTTGTTTCATCTTTTGGACCATTAACAATATATTTAAAAATTTCACTTGGAGAATCACCTTGTTGATTTCTATAATTAATTAATCTACTAATTTGATAACCAGCAGTACCAGAAAGAAAAAAATTTACACTTGCTAATAAATAATTTTTTGGTTTAATAACAAATGACCATCTTGTCCATATAACACCAGTTGCTAATAATGATAAATTTTGTGTACCTGAAACTTTTTCAATTGGTCTATTAATATCAGAAATACCAGCAACGACTAATGACCATTTTAAGACAGGGGCCTATTATTGTTAGTATTGTACTATATTATATATATTATAAACAATGGTGATTTAATGGTATGATCTTTTATCTTATCTTTCATCTCTTATAGTTTCCCTATACTATAGAAAAAAAAATCAAATTCTTATTGGATCCAATTGATAGATATATAATGAAAATAATTAACATACCCAAAAATGCACAGTCTTTGGACCTGTTTCTGAATTCAAGAATCTAATAAAAGCTGAAGACATGTTGTGTTATATAATTGATATTAATTGTATGATATTAGTGTTATTTGTTGTTTACAATTACTTTAATGTAATTGAATAAAATTTAATTCAAATCGATTCATCCACTCGGACTGCTACACTCCAAATATGTGGGGGGATATTAGCTAGGGAGGACTTAGGCAGGGCTCTGTCTAAGTACTCTGCCTAAGTTGTAACTGTGTTTCACTGAACTCTGTCTACGGAACGGTAAATTCAAACAATCACAATGTTGACTTCCCAATGTGGTAACAATGAATGATTTTTATTTGTATTGTAATATCACATGTAGCAGAACGTGACTTTTCCCCTTGTTTAAATTTCCATTTTTTTTTATTTTTTTATTTTTCTCAATTTTTAATTTTTAGGGGAACAAAACAAATTGAGAACAAACAAACAAAAACAAAAACTTTGATGAAATTTGACAGGGATATCAAGTAATTTCAACTTTGTTCAATTGTTTTTAGTTTTGGAAATATACTTTCAAATTTAAATCATTGGAATTGTTAATTATTGATTCTTGGTTATCAATTAGATTTAGTTTCATCAGTTGGTATTGGAATAACTCATTGTCATTTTGAGTATATTAGCAAAAATTGGTATTTGACGTGTTTCTTCTATTACGAAAATTTACCTTTGTTCAAACAAGCAAAATTTCAACTGTGAAAGTAACAAATACAAAAACAATTTCAAACAAATAAATTCATATCAAAGAGATTTAAAGATCAAGATAAAAGATCTTATAAAACATTGTTATATTCCATTACATTTGATTTGTTTATTTATTCACTACTCATCAACTCACCATAATGAACGTCACTGCTACAACTATAACAACTTCAACAACAACAATTGCATTACAAGATATTTGGAATACAACTTCTGATGTTGTTTCTCGTTATTTATTCATTATATTAAATTATATTGAATTAATACCTGGTGGTTCAATTTTAGTTCGTTATATAAAATCTTCTCATAAAAATGATCCAATTAGAACTTTATTTGAAATTGCTTTATTTATTTTTGCAATTAGATATTTTACTACAGCAAAATATGAAAGATCTAAAAAAGATCATATTAAATTGAAAAATTCTGAAATTGATGAATTAATTGATGATTGGATGCCGGAACCTTTAGTTTTGGATATTAGTCCAAAGGAACAATGGCAATTAAATTCAATTCCAATTGTTAAAGGTCCAATAGATACTAAAGTGAACCTAGTTGGTGAAGAAGGTGACTTTTTAAATTTTGCTTCTTCAAATTTTTTAAATTTTGGTATTAATCCAATTGTTAAAAATGAATGTAAAAAAATTATTCATAGTAATGGTGTTGGTGCTTGTGGTCCACCAAATTTTTATGGTAATCAAGATATTCATATTAAATTAGAAAATGATTTAGCAAAATTTTTCGAAGTTGGTGGTGCTGTATTATATGGTCAAGATTTTTGTACTGCAGGTTCAGTTTTACCAAGTTTTTTAAAAAGAGGTGATTTTGTTATTGCTGATGCTTCATCAAATGTTGCAATTCAAAAAGCTTTACAATTATCAAGATGTGAAATTTATTGGTTTAATCATAATGATTTGGATCATTTAGAAGAAATTTTAATTGATTTACAAAAAAATATTTTTAAATTTGAAAAACCAATTTCAAGAAAATTTATTGTTACTGAAGGTATTTTTGCAAATAAAGGTGATTCACCATATTTACCAAGATTAATTGAATTAAAGAAAAAATTTAAATTTAGATTATTTTTGGATGAATCTTTATCTTTAGGTGTTTTAGGTAAATCTGGTAAAGGTTTAGCTGAACATTATAATATTAAAAGATCAGAAATTGATGTAACTATAAGTTCAATGGCTAATTCATTCTCTTCTTCAGGTGCTTTTTGTATTGGTGATAAAGTTATGACTTATCATCAAAGAATTGGTTCAATGGCTTATTGTTTTAGTGCTTCATTACCTGCTTATGTTGCAAGAGCTACATCAGTTGCATTAAGATTATTAACTGATTCTCAAGATTCCCAGGGTGAATCATCAATTGTAAAAAAATTACAATCAAATAATTATCAATTATTTAATTTATTTAATAAAGATAGAAAATTAAGTAAATATTTAAAAATTATATCAAATGAAATTTCACCAATTTTACATTTTGAAATTAATTCAGATTTAAGAAAACTTTTAAATTTCCCAATTAGTTATACAGGTAAAGGATCAGAAATTGAATATAAAAATAAAAAAGGAATTTCTGATAAATTTGTTGAATCATTTAATTATGAAAATTTAATTTTTCAAAAAATTATAAATTTATCCAAGAAACAAGGTATTTTAATAACAAGATCAATTTTTACAATTGAACAAGAAGCTCTGCCTCTGATTCCAAATTTAAAAATTCATTCAAATGTTGATTTTACTAAGGATGAAATTGAAAAAGTTTATAAAATTGTTTCCAAAGTAATTTTAGATGTTTTTGAAAATTTAACTGTTGAATCATTATCATTATTAACTGAAGAAGTTATTTAAACAAAAGTGTCATAAGGAATAAAGAAATTACATATGCTTTGATGTAATTTGTATAATAATAATATCATTTGAATCTAATAAAGTATTTAATAGCCATTTATAATAATAATATATAATCATAATTAATTTAATAAGCCTGTTGTAGTGAGATATTGTATATAGACTTTATGCGATCAGAACATAACATCAATAGATAAGAGTACGTACCTTATATAAATCTAGATCCATCCCCGGATTAAATATATATAGTATATATACAGTTTAAAGGTTGGGGACTAATCACTATATATACACATAGTAGATTGTGACTCTTGTCATTAGACTAACCAACTATTTTAAACATGGCTATATACAAATCAACAAGAAAATAATATATCAATATTGTTTTGTAGGTCTCTGGTTTTAGGTACATTAATCAAAGGTAAATTACTGTTCTAAACTTGACTTGACAGCTTTAAGTTGAATCAGCCCTGAGCCTGCTGGCTTAGTTTTTGTTGATTGTTGATCTTAAGTCCCATGTTTTTGATATCATTTGAGCCTAGGCCCTTTAAAAACGCCAAAAAAATTATAAATTTTTATAACAATAATGCAAAAGTCTCTATCGTAGTCTCATAGTCTCATAGTCTCTGGCCTGGCAGTGCCATGATTTTTGAGAGAAGTTTAAACTTTTACAAAGGGGATGATTTAATTTTTTTCATTTAAAGATAAATGAAAATAACTTTTATTTTATATTTAAATTATTCTCATATATTCAACTCTTTGATTATCAAGTTACATTATTCTTCTCAAGTTTGATCATTCGCTTTCTTTAAGGATTTATATTACACGCAGCTGATACTAGTCGTTCACTTAACAACGCAGTACGGATTATATAATACAGCTGGAGTAAAGAAATTATTAGTACTACAAGTTTATTCGGCCATAACTAGGGTATAAAACTTATCCGTTATAAAGTTTGTTTTAAAATTGTTTTAAATTATATTATAATAGAATTTATTAGTTAAAAAATGGGATTATTTAGAAAAGATTCAAACGCTTCACAAGGTTCTGGAGGTTCTGGAGGTGCAAAAGTTCAACTTACAAAAGATGATGAACGTAATTATAAGGTCCGTACCGGTTCTGTTCATGATCCGATTTTACAAGCTGTTCAAGAAGCTCAACCTTTTGAAGAAGTTCAAGGTCAAGAACAACAAAGACAAAGTTATAACATGATGGCACAAAATGGTGGATTATATGATGTTTTCGGTAAAGTTATAAATCAACCAGATATTTCTAATCCAACAAGATCAAGAGATGAAAGACCTTTAGATACTATAAGAGGTTTTGAATATTCAATAACTGGTGATTTATCTTATAAAGATCGTTTAGAATCTGATTCTTTAGGTTTTAGAGTTCGTAATGATTTCCCAAGATTTGGTGATAATCCTTATGGTTCAAATCCAGCTGGTATTTCTTCAGGTTATGGTCAAGGTTCAAATTCAGCTCCAATTCATAATTTTTCAGGTGATCAACAAGCTTTTGAACAAGGTGTTTATGAAGCTCCTGCTATTAAAAAAGCTGAAGGTAAAAAGAAGAAAGGTTTATTTGGTAGAAAGAAGAAATAAACTGATTACTGATAAGATTATGATTTAAATGAACAATATATATATATGAAGAGCTTTATATGATAGTACTCAAATATCATCAAATCTATTAATTATAAGGGGGTTTGAAGTTTTTTCCTCGGATTTGGTTGTGATCGGGTATTAAATATATAAATTATGTGTTATAAAACTATAGGTTAAAGAGATTTAAAGAATTACATTATTTCAATTCTATTAGGTATATATGATTTAAAGGAAGTTATAGTACCAATTTTTATAAATTTTCCAATCTACAATATTGATGTTTTATTATAATTACCTAGCTTAACTATGGTTCCGTAGTTTAGAGCACGTCTGTTTTTCAAAATTTGCGAAATTATTCGTTTTTCGTTTTTCGTTTTTCGTTTGTTGTTTTTTCCTAAAATGTTTTATCGCGTAACAAAATTGAAACGAATAAGATCGACAAGGTACAAGTTAATCAAAGAGCAGTGTCACATTCACAGCCTTCAGTGGGTACTAGGTGCTAGATACTAGGTTATACTGGGCACTGGGAAGAGTAAGACTACCCAAGAATCCTGTTTAAACTGTTGTTTTTATACCATTTTTATACCATTTTTATACCATTTTTATACCATTTTTATACCATTTTTATACCATTTTTATAAAGTTTTTCAGTTGATGTCTAACAACCTCCAAAACAGTAGAAAGTAAACAAAATGGCTGAACTCTTCTTTATCAACTAAACTATCATCAGCACAAATAGACTAGCCCTCAATGGGATCCATGGTCTTGTGAATCATCACAAGTGACAGAATTGTCAATTCAATCGAAGATCCAAGTCTGACTGCTTATTTCCTGTCTCTTTGCATGTTCAAATGCTGTTTTCTGTTTTCTGTTCCTGAAATAGAAGTATAAATTTATGCGCGAAGTTTGAGTCGTATATAAACTTTTTTTTTGCTTTCAACATTCTTATATGTATTCCCCAGATTCAACGATAATTTAGACATATTAAGAGGTTCTTTTATATAATGTCCATACCAGAGATACCTTCTATGTATGAAACACCAACTTCCTCTCAGCTAAAAGATGATCTTTTGGAAGTTTCTGAAATTTCATTACTAAATTCATCAACTGATACTTTAAATAATTCAACATCATCATCATCGTCAACATTTATAAATTCAGATACTTTAAAATTCATTTCAAATTTAAGAGATGAATTCCAAATAACAAATCCATTAAATAAAATACATCAAGATTTTTTACAAAGTTATGAAAAAGCATATAAAGATTCTCAAATATCAATGATTCCAATTTTTAACATTCCAAAAACATTTAATCATAAGACGACTGATATAAATGGGAAATCATTAGTTATTGATATTGGTGGTTCAACTATAAGAATTGGTGTTATTGATCTTGATACTCCTGAATCTCCAATACAAATTCAAAAACAATGGATATTAAATGAAGATGAAAAATTAATTGATTTGAAATTTTTCGAAAATTTAGTTTTAAAAGCAATTGATATTATTAATGAATATGATGATGATCATAATAATGATGATGAATGGAAAATTGGTATTACTTGGTCATTCCCATTAAACAAAAAAAATCAAATAATAACAATGGGTAAAGGTTTCCATATTTCAAAAGAAATTGAAAATGCAAGTATAGATGAATTAATAACTTCGATTTTCCGAAACAAGTTCCAAATTAATGCAAAAATTTATTCAATTATTAATGATTCTATAGCTGTAAATTTATCAGGTTTAATTAATCATGATTTTAATTCTCAAATCTCATTTATATTAGGTACAGGATTAAATAGTTGTATTAATAAAAATTATGATTTAATTAATACTGAATTGGGATTTTTTGGAAAATTACCAATTGAAAATATTACAAAATATGATGAACAATTAGATTCAAGATGGAAGAATTTCTCAAATATACCATATATACATAATGAAACAAATAATGAAAATGGTGTTTTCATGCCTTTAGAATTTTTAAGTTCTGGAAGATATGTTTCTGAAATTTTAAGATTAATAATCTTGGATTTATTACAAAACAATCATATCACAGATTCAATACCATTGCAATCCATAATTAATGAACCATTTGGATTACATGGTAAATTCATATGTTCATTTGATTCATCATTATCATATCAAGAAATTCAATCAAATTTATTAACAAATTTCAATATTAATTTTAAAGATGAAGAAATTATGATTTTCCAATCAATAATTGATATTTTATTAGAAAGAACTGCAATCTATGTTTCACAATCAATCTTATCATTATCAAAATTTGTTCATCAACAAGATCAATCAATTATAAATGTAAATTATATTGGTTCATTTTTATATCATTGCAAAGAATTACAATCCAAAATTTCAAAATATTCACATAATACCATCCATTTAAACCATATTGAACATAGTTCGTTGATCGGTGCTGCTGTTTCAGTCTGTATCAATACCCATATTGCATAGAATTCATCAACAATTTCATATAGATAAACAATTAATTTATTAATGAATAGACGATTTTAGTTATACTCTTAAATACCCGCGAATTTCTTTAAACCCCCAGTATATTTGAAACGCATATAAACAATTTTTATAACAAAACCAAAAAACAAGTTCAACATCATCAATTTAAAATCAATATATTATTACCGCTGTTTTAATTCTTTCTTAAATTCATTTCAAACTATTTCAGATTCATGAGTGATATTAGATTATCATAATGGAACACAGTTTTGATTTGACAGCTGATCGACAACACGTTCATGATGCTGTCAAAAGTGAGTTATTGTCATTTGATGAAGATGTTAAATTGAATACTAATATATTGGTAAAGGTCTTATATGTACCATATTCTTCTATAGAACATTTGGATCAATAGAGCCTAAAAGTGCTGAGTTTCTGGATGTACCTTATGTGAGTATTTTTAAGTGTGCTTTGTTTGTGTGTTTGTGTACTAACAAGAGTTTTAGCCATATTTTGAATCATTAGAACTTGATAATGAAATTGAATCCAAAATTGATCAATTATTATCTAGAATAGACTCGGACATTTCAACACCTATACTGTCTTCAGCTTCAGTTACTTCAACTCCATTAGGTTCACCTGGTGCAAAACCATTTACACTGAGTTCAAGTATAACAAATAATTCAAATCCTTATGCAAATATCAAATTTTCAGATCCTGATCCTATTCAACCATTATCAGATATAGATAATAATGATCCATTGGCTTCTTCATTACATAGTCTTGGTGGATTAGGTGGTCCTAGTGGGAAAATTAATTCAATAAAATCTCCAAGTTCAGTACCTACAACAGGTTCAACATTACATACAATATCATCAAGAAGATCAAATATAAATTCTAATTCATCAAATACAAATACAAATCAAAATAATAATATAAAATTTGGTCAAATTGCTGTTAAATTTTATGAACGTAAAAAATTGAAAAAACCAACATGGTTTGGTAAAACTGAAGAAGAAATTAATTGGGAAACTTGGATTTTAAATATAAGAGTTATTTCAAAATCAATAAATACTGATCATTCACAATTAATTGAAAATTTAAAATTACAATTTGAACAAACTTTATGGGAAATTAGTGAACAATGTGATGAATATAAAGATCATATTCCAGTTATAACTTCAACTGAATTATTCCCATTTCCTTATACAATATCAACTTCACATGGTAATAATGATAGTTGGAAGGCATTCATTAAAAAAATGCTTAAAGACCCTATTTATTGAACAGAAAAATTGAAATTATTTAGTACAAATATTAACGACTCTACATGATGTTTTATATGAAAGCTTATTAATAGAATGATATATTCAATATGTGCATTAAACCTTTGTAGAGTTATAGACTTGATTTAACAGAATAAGAATCACCACTAACCAAAATACAATCTCCATTTTCCACAATAGGATCAATTCCTAAATGTCTAGCAACACCCAAGACTTCTTCATTATAAGCACCAGGTTGAAACCAAACCCCTTTAATTTGATCTTTTAATTGTTTTGTTTCAATTTCATTCAATACACTTTCTGATACTTTTGGAGGTGTTATAAATGAAATACTAATCCCATCATTATTTGGATATTCTTCATTGGCTCTTTTAATAGCTAATGCAATATCTTGTGATGTTGGAACATGAAGAATATGAGTTGCTGATGGATGAACTGGAATAACTGGTAATTCACGAGCTAAATACCAATTGAATACTTTATATCCAAATTTTGTTTCATTTGGGGTGGCACCGACAACTGCGTATACTCTTGCTGCGCTAAAGAAGTTTTTAATTGACATTGTAATGATATGTTGTTGTATTTTATTGTTTCTTGTGGCCAAAATTTATCCCCAGATGTGATTTTTTATACTTTTCGGTCTTAAATGGCAAAGTTGCGATATAATAGAAAAAACTAGTAACACTGAAGAATTACAGAGAAAACTACAAAATCTCATAATTTTTCATACAAAATTAGTCATTCAAATTCTCCTGTTAATCTATTTATCATACATTGTGAAATGTTTATTCATTTTTAGCCTTTTTAGCAGGTGGTTCATCATCATCACTTAATGGTGCATCACTATCAAATTCTTCAGCTAAATCTGAATCTGAACCTGAACCACCATCGTTAAAATCTTCATCTGGACTTTCATCCTCACTTGCTGATCCCATATTAACATCTGAATCTGATGAATCCAAATCATTAGCCAAAACAGCATTAATTCTAGCTTGTTGTTCAATTTCATCATTTTTAACTTTAACACCTTTACTTTTCAAGAATGATTCTAATGAATTTTGTTCTTCTTTTGTAATATTAGCAAATGTATGTGATACTGGTGAGCCTCTTAAATTAACTTCCAGATCAAATGTACGGTTTGAAGTTGATGAATCACCAGCTCTTGAAATTGAAACACTTGAAACATCATTATATGGAATATAAACTGTTGGTTTAGTAACAAATAAGAAATTATTTTCCAATAGATATAAATAACCTTCATTAACTTTTAATGAACAACTCACAGCTGGTTGACCATGTTTTGATAAGAAACTTCCTGGGATAATAACACGACGTTCTGTTAAACCTCTAAATACATGACTTAAAACCAGATGTGTTTGTTGATCATAGTTCTTATTCAAACGTTTAGAATATTTCTCTTGGAACTCATCATCATCGATATTGATTTCTAATTCCAGTTCTTCATCTTTTGAAAATTGTAAAACTAAAAATGGATATGGTGTATTACCTTGACGCAGAGGTGGATTAACTTGTATAACCATTAAATGATGTATATCATCTGGTTTTGGTAATGAGAATATTCTTTCAACTTGACGGTATTGTATTTTATGATCATAAGTTTTACCTCTTAATCTTAATGAGCCTCTATACATCTCAACATCGAAACGACCACGAGGAGTAAGGAATAAAATATCATTAAATGAGGCCAGAGCTTCACCTGCAACTTGACCAATATCAGCTTTATCTTTCAAATTTTCATAGAATGCAGAAGCTGCTGTTTTTTCTTCTTTATCATCTTCTGGAACATCATCATCTTCATATGGAACATTACCTGGGACATAAAATCTAACTTCAACTAATTCATCACCAGCAAAATCATTTCCCTGCAGTGGATCCATATCAATGGCAACTTCATTTTTTGAAGCTAAATTAGAATTTGAAATTTGAGCATATGGAATTTCAAAAGCTGGTTTGCCACTAACATTGAAAATTAATTCATTTCTTGCTAAATCAGTATTACCCCAATTCCAACCTCTTAATGAATGTTCTCTATGATCTAATTGTATATTAAATTGTTGTAATCCATTTTTTAATTGATTGAAATCTTGTTGATCAAACCCATCTAGTTTAACAACACCTTTATTTTTGGTTTGAATTTTAATTTCATAACCTCTTGAACCTCTACTCCATTGAGCTGATGATAATTCTTCAGATGGCAAAAGGAATGGTTGAGTTTTATTTGCTGAACCACCAGCAGCTGCAGCTTTCCAACCTAAACCAGTTTCAGCAATACGGAAACGACCAAAAGCTTTTGATTGATTTAAATAGATTTTCTCAAAATCCAAATTTCCTGACATCTTTATAGCAATTTAATTAGAATTTTGATGATGAACTGTGTTGAGTTGATTAAATTAATTAAATTTTGTACTCATTTCACAAAGTTACGTTATTAATTTTTGACGCGTATTCTCAAAAGCCGGGTAAAAAATCAAATTTTAATATTATCGCGCTCGCCGCGATGAGCTTATATAAACTTTTCCCATAATATTAAACGTCTTAACTATGTAAACAAGAGAGCTATAATTGATATACAAGAAAGTTTGTTCTACTACCTTTCAAAATGTCTAGATTCATAAATTAAAGTCATCATATAAATTAAATATACAAATTTTCAATTTCAAACTCAAATCAAAATAGCAAATAAAATGGTTTCATAAAATTCATTCACATAATTAATATTATTGGTTAAATTTAAAATGCAGATTCAATACCTTTCAAGAATTCAACTAAACCAATAGCACCTGGATCTGGAATATCACTACTGTCACCAACATATGAAGCACGACCAAATTTAGCTTCTGATGAACCAGTAGCTTGAGCACCTTTATCAGCAGCTGCAACGGCTTTACTGAAATCACTTGATTTGACAAATTCTTTAACAAATGGTTCTAATGCATCAATGATTGTTGAATCACCTGGTCTAGCATTGGTATATTTATATAATGTGTCTAAAGCGTCTTGTAAAGCTTTACCAAAAGTAGTTGGATCAACTGGTGTACCTTTTGATGAATTTTTTTCAACACCTTGACTTAAACCTGAGAAATAAATTGATAATAATGCACCCATAGTACCACCACATAATTCCTCTAATAAATTTGATAATTTATGGAATGTAGCAGCTAATGAATGTTTTGGTAATTTATCTAAATTCTTCACTATACCTTCAGCACCTGCAACTAATGTAGTACCACAATCACCATCACCAACTTTAGTATCTAATCTTGTGATTTCTGGTTCAGCTTTAATTAAAGTTTCAGTACCAGCTTTTAAGACTTTAGAGAAATGATCGAAATCATAGGTACCAGCTTGTTGAGTACTATCATCACTTTCTTTAATTAATTCTGGATCATAAGTTGGAGCTTTAGTTTCAACTCTCTTTGCTGGCCATCCTGCAGCTTCAGTTTCAGCATCTAATAAATCAACAACTGATTTAACTTCTGATGGAGCAGATTTGTTAGCTTTAGTAACGTTCAATAATGTAATACTGAAACCTTCACCATCTAAGGCAGAAATTAAAGTACCAGCATAAACACGAGATGGAGTAATATCATATTCAGATTTCAATAAATCAGCAGCAACTTTAGTGATGGCTTGTAAGACCAAGTTAGCAACACCACCCAAGTTGTTGATTAAAAGAACAACTTCATCACCTTTTTCAAAATTAACAAATGCACGATCTTTATCACTTTGATCTAATAATTTTGGTAACATTTGAGTTTTTATCAATTCTTCAACTGATGGAACTGGTTTTAAAGTTTTAACACCTGGTTCATTATGAATACCCATACCTAATTCCATTTCATCATCTTTTAATGAAGATTCAAATTCTTGACCTGGAACTTTAGCATGATTTAATGAAGCACCAATTGAAACCAAGTTATCATTAAGAGCAGTGGCTAATTTAACAGCATCTTTTAATGTATGTTTATAGTTTTCAACATATGCACCTAATGATTTATGAATGATTGGAGTACCTGCAAGGGCTCTTCTACCAACTAATCCACCTTTTGAACGACCAACTGAAACATCTTCACCAATGACAAAGACTTCAACATTGTAACCTAAAGCACGAGCTCTTTCACCTGCAAGACCAAAATGTAAAACATCACCAGTATAGTTTTTAACAATTAATAAAACACCTGGTTTATCTTGACCAACAAGTTTGATACCGTTCAAGATTTGTTTAGTACTTGGAGAGGCAAAGATTGGACCAGAAACAGCACCGGTTAACCCACCTTTACCAACAAAGCCAGCATGAGTTGGTTCATGACCAGCACCACCACCTGAGATTAAAGCGACTTTACTCTTGTCTTGATCTCTAAAGATGACTTTGTCTTCTTTGACATATGTCAAACTTGGGTTTGAAAGGGCTAAACCTTCAAGGGCACTTTCAACGGTATTTTCGACTGTGAAATGTTTTGTCATATTTGGACTGTGTTGTATTGTATAATGATTGTAAAATTGAATAAATATCTATACTTTCAACAAAAGTAATTGCAATTGAGTTGAATTGAAGGAGATATTCAATTGTTTAAATACCCACCAACCCTTAATTTCTTTGAAAGTTGCGGTTACAGGTAAATATTGAACAATGCACGAAAACGTAACTGAGATTTTAGCCTACTTTGGAATCTATTCTTAAGCGCAAACATAAAAGCAGGAACACACAGAATTCTCAGCAAACTAAATAACTTGAGCTTGAATAATCGAGAATTTTAGGCTGTTTGTTTGGCTACAATGCCTCAAGTTATGAGATCATCTCCAGATTGTAAGAAAGTTTTGCAGTGCTCTGTGCTCGATGTTTGGTGTTGGACTGCTATTAGCAACAATAATGAGTTCCATAGCACTCCGAATTCATGGAACAATTAAGATATGATTAACGGTATCCTATTATGTTCCGTTTGGATATTATTATCATAGTTGCTTTTTAGATCTAGCTCAACACTTTTAGATATGTTTACCTATATCAAAAGATTTAACTCTTCATGCCATGTGCTAATCAAGCCCTAATCTCATGATCTTCTACGCGAAAACTGGACCCCGGTTATACTCTGGCCTAGCTGATGTTTTATAGGTATATATCAGGTACTCTACAATCTCAAAGGTCTAAAACTCAAAAAAGTTCTGTGTATATATAAACAGTAGAATCTAAAATTGATTAAAACGTGAATGAAGAATATAATAAAAATGGGTATAATGTACAAGGAATAATTAACTATAGCAAAAATTCAAAAAAATTTCTAAAATATTTGTAATTGTATGAGTTGTATCTTTTTTAAAATAATGAAGCATGATTTTAAATCAATCATGTCTTACTGATGATGCATGGGTAACGGATCTGACTAGCGATTGTGCTTGTGTCAATCCTGGTAATTCGTGTGTTGTATGAACTCTATCTAATGAGTTTCTAGTTGTTATTTGTGAAGATTCATTAGAAATTTCTTTCTCTTCATCACTTTGAGAAGCACTGAATGGTTCATCTTTATTGAAATCACCTCTAACTGCACATTCTCTAATGATATCAATATCTCTTGGTCTGTAAAAGGTATTCAATGTAGTGAAAACAAATCTCGGTAAAACACATAATAAGGTACCAACAAAGTAACATGCCCAAAATGAAGTTTGTCCAAAAACTTGTGCTGCTGATTTATAAAATTCACCAGAAAATGTTGATGATGACCAAACACCAGACCAGAAGAAAACCACCAAGACAGATAATGAATCAATTAATAATGTTAACCAATCCCATCTATATTGTCTTAATAAAACATAAATATCAACAGATGTAACGGAAATAGCAGTAACGTAAACACCAATCCAAAATCTATGATCAACATTTAATCCATTATATGATGCAATATGACCTTGATAAAAAATCAAGTATGGGAAAAAGAAAGTAATCACTGATTGATATAAACCATCAAGCATATAATAGATAAATTTATATTGTGACCATTCTTGTCTTAATATACCAGACATGTATAATTGTGGAACTCTTAAACTAATATCATCCGAAACATCTTGATCAAAAACAGCTAAAAAGATCACAGGAAGTGATGTGAAAGCTAAATTATAAAACATAATATAAGTATATTCAAATAAATAAGAACCATCATAATCATTGAAAATACCAAACCAAAATAATGTCATTGTGAATTGAATATTCTTATAGAAGAAAGATGGAATCATTTCTGCTAAACGTTTATATGACCATCTACCATGAACTAAAACTAATCTTGTCAAAAATCTAAATTGTCCAATAGCATAATCTGAAGACATTGCAGCTTGTCTACCTTCTTCACCAACAATACCGACACCAACATTAGCTGTTTGAATCATAGCAACATCATTGGCACCATCACCAATGGATAAAGTCATAACATCTAACGAATCTCTAACTAATTTAACAACTTGAGCTTTTTGAGCTGGTGAAACACGACAACATAAAACTGATTTACATTGTTTACATAACAATAAGAACTTTCTTTGTAAATCTGCATCATCAAAAATTGTTCTTAATGCATCACCATCAACAATAACTGCAAATTGACCTTTTGGAATTGAATGATCCTCTCTAGCAGCTTTTAATTCATCTAATGAACCTGTTAGGTTGAATTTTTTTAAATTTTCATCTAATTTAGATCCAATATCTTGTACTGGATCTTTACCTTCTTCTGGACGAATAACTAATAAATTCATATCATTACCAAGTAAATTACATGAAAACCCGATATTAATAGCAGTTTCAATTTTATCACCAGTTAAAACCCAAAGTTTAATACCAGCTTTTGATAAAGTTTCAATAGATTCTGGAACACCAATTTGTAAACGATCTTCAATAGCAGTACCACCAAGTAGGATCAAATTTGATTCAATTTCACTTGCTAAAGCTTCCATTTTTTCCTCTCTATCTTCTAACGAGGATGAAGCTGCATCATAATTTTTTTCCCATGTTGTAAATTCTTCTGGTGGAATTGTACGACCAGCAACACATAAAGTTCTTAAACCTTCACTTGCATATTCTTCAAGATGTTCAGCTGTTGTATTCAATAATTCTTTATCATTTTTATTTGGATCTAAACGTTCAAAAATAACAGAATCTGCACCTTTACTAATTATATGAATTTCATCATCTAATTGAGCAATAACACTCATTCTTTTTCTTGTTGAATTAAATTCTAAAACTTTTAAAATATCAAAAGATTTTTCAGTTCCTTGAATATTAACAATACCACCATTTCTAGTTCTTTTAGTGAATGTATAACCAACATCACTAGCAGCTTGAACTAAAGCAGCTTCATCTGGAGATTCAGCTTTGAATTCAAATTTTGATGGATCTTCTTTTAATGGTTCAGTCATTACTGTATGACATAATGATAAACATAACATAAAACGATCATTAGCTTCACTTTGTGCTTTATTTTCTATATTCAATAAATCTGTTAAATATTCACTTGAAATAAAAGTTAACGATTCTGGATTAAAATGTGGGTTTTCTGATTTACTTAAAATATCAATCATTTGTTGTCTATCATCTTCAATAGCTTTCCCCCATTTACGTGAAGCTTGTGTTACATCAACACCTTTCCTTTTATCCATACCTTGTTGAGCTTCAGTATATGCTAACCCATAAGATTTACCATTGATAGTGGCTTTTTTAAACTCCATAACGTTTTGAGTCAGTGTACCTGTTTTATCACTGAAAATATATTCAATTTGACCTAAATCATCTGAAATATTCCATGATTTTGGTGTACATGGATAATCCAATTTTTCATAATACATTTTAACATCACAATAAATGAATAAAGCTTGCAAGGTTTTAACAATTTCCACAGAAATATATAATGAAATTGGAACTAATGATTGGAAAAGAATAACAGCAACGAAAAATGAAATTATACCATTAATAGCTGGTGTACTACCATAAGCTTTAAATTCAAAAAATTTGAAAGAAGTGTTACTTTTATCATAAAAAACACCATTGATAACACCTGAGATCAAACATAAGATGAATAATAATGCAAAATTGATCAAAACTGATAAATTTAATTCTTTAGATATTCTTGATTTCTTGGTTGGGGTAATACCAGAATTTAACATAATCTTGGTTTCATGACCTGTGAAAACCACAATACCAATAGCCCATTTAGTATTTCTTAATGTAGAGCCTCTTAAAAGCATATTATTGATATTAACGGATTCTTCAACTTCATTGTCTTTTTCTGAATCTGAATCAAGACCATTATTAATTTTCAAAGAAGCTTGATAATTATATAAATTCATACTTGGAGCTTCACTATTCAGTTGAAATTTTAATTGAGTTAAATCTCTTGAATGTCTAATTCCATGAGTTTCTCTTAAACCTTCACGAGATTTTAAATTGGTCTCACCATCCAAGTTTTTAGTTTCGATAAAACATCTGTTATCTATATCAGAAGTTGAAAGAACAACAATATCAGCTGGTGCTTCTTCATTATTACGAAGTCTAACAATATCACCAACTTTAAGGTTTTTCCAAAAACTTTTCTTGAAGCTTGTTTGTGGAATATTAGCATTTTTGGTATTCAATCTTTCATGTAAATCATTTGGAATATCATTTGTATTAGTATCTAAACTTGCTCTTAAAGATGAACGAACAGTTTCCAAAGACATTCGTGGGCCTGTTGTTGTTTCAATAACTTGTTGTTTTCTAAATAATTTAGCAAAAAAATTGACAATATTAACAAATATTGATGCATTAAAATTATTAAATTTTGAACGTAATGATAAATTAGTTTCATCAACATTATGATTATGAATCCCCGCAAGTACAGAAACTGGGTTATTATTAACTTCTAAATCACTAATTGTTCTTCTTGAATCTTCAAATGCATCCTTGATGGCAGTAATCACCACAATAACACATAATGGAACTGCAGCTAAACCAGGTGATTGAACACCAAAAATTTGAAAAGCACCCAAAATAATTAAAAATAAGAAATAAACATTTGCAATATTTTGAAATTGGAAAAACAAATTCTTAGGCAAGAATGAGAAAGGTGTATATTTTGTTGTTCTGATTTCATTCTTGTCGTATGTCTTTATAGGTCTATGATGCTTTGGGTCTATTTCACTTTCTGGTAAAGGTTGATTGAAATAAACCGTTCTGGGTTCCAATACCTGGGGCTTTACAAACCAACCATGTATCTTATCACCTATACCCATGGTCTCTGACCTAAACAAAAGCTGTTAGTAAGAAATCTTTAGAAACGTTGAGGTTGAAGGTTGAAGTTGAATTTTAATTTATAGCTCCAAGTGTAATAATTTCATCTATCATTCCCTATGACAACGGATTAATTGTTTTGTCTCACCGCCCGACTTTGCAAACTCAGCATCAACAAGAAATGTCACACCAGTAACCTCATTCTCTCTGTGTGTACTCACTTAAAGGAAGAAGACTCAGCTTATCTGGATAATCACCTTTTGAAATCGCAGGCTATTTGTCTTGATATACCCACTGTAACTTCATATAAAATTTATGTTTTGACTTGTTTTCTTATTTTGAAAACATGGCTTGCACGCGAAATTTTGACAGGATTTTTTCGGGCGTCAAACGCTTTAAAGTGCCGAGTTCCGTTACCATATAATAGTCTACAAATAGAAAGTATCTCCTGGAATATAAAACAGTAATCTATTTCTATCATCTATATACAAGACTCATCAAATCATTATTTTCGGATCTGGTTTTATGTAATCCATTTCCAAGGTCCCGAAGGCCTTTAATGCTTTCCCTCAATTAGCATTCCTGCTTAAACTTCTTCTCCGTTACGTATTCTCTCTATAGTCATTAGCACTTCAGGAACAACTTGCTCTTCTAACTTTATCTTTTCTTTCCTCGTAAAGGGAGATAATACATATTCTGCCACATCATGAGGGTTTCTGGATTCTGGTCTTCCAATACCAACACCTAATCTTAAGAAATCCTTATTAGTGCTACCTTTAATACTTTTCAATCCATTATGACCTCGAAGACTAGCATCACCTGAACGAATTTTATACTTTCCTAATTCTAAAGATAATTCATCATGAACAACAAGATATTTAAAATCCCAATCTTTTGTTTTAGATTTTATATCTGTGAAATAATCCCATGCTTTTGATATTGGACCTCCAGAGATATTCATAAAATTATTATTTTGTATATAAATCATATTGGACTTATTCAAGTCCATACCAAAACGTATACCTTTAACTCTAGGATGATCAACGAATGGTATTCTGGTCATATTCAGCACTAGATGACCAGCATTATGTCTTGTACCACCATATGAAAGCTCTGGATTCCCAACAGAGGTCACCATCAAAAAGATTGGTTTCTTGGTGACACCAGCACCAACATTCTGTTTAAGCCCTTGTACATTAGCAGCTTTCCAAAGACATCTTGTAGCAAATACCATATCCCATGTACACAAATGTTATAGAAATGTACTAAAATATGACAAATCGCTTTTTTAAATTCAATTTAACAATCGTCGTCTATTTTTGTTTTCTCCAAAGATCTGCGTTTACTTTTTCACATCATAATTTTTTTAGTGACACGATTCTGCAATTTTGAAAAGGCTTAGATGCTTTGTGATTTCTTGGGAAGCTTATAAAGTATGGAAAACAAAGAAAGTCTCGAGAGGCTATTATTACTACATACCTTTTATTGTTATTTGACTCCATAGCCTTAACACAACTGCAACTCTCACCAGCCTTTTTAATAAGTGGCAGGAGCTCTTACTACGCGCCAGTTTGGTTTTTCAGATACCATATACCCAGTGCCCACTCCACAGACTGAGACATAAATTTAAACTAATTCTGAGGTGTCTTACATACAAATACAAAGACAAGCAAAAAAGTTTAAAAAGTTAAAAACATCAAAAAAATAACAAACCTTTATCTTCATCATATATGATCTAAGTCCTCATCCACATCGCATCAAAAGAAGACTCATGTTTCAACTTTACAAGGTCATGCTCCCTCCTTCAAACATCTCCAAATCATCACACACAAAAATGCTCTCAGTCAAATTCACACGAATGTCAAAGACTTTTATGTTTGGTTCTATATTATCAGCAATGATTGTGCTCTTATATCTAACTTTATTTGACCGTGAAGAAATGAACTATACAGCTCTATACAATACATATAATCCAACCACTTTTGGTAGCAGGCCTTCTTATCATAATGAAGAACCAAATAATGACAAAGTTAATGTTAATCAAGAATCAAAGCACACTACTCAAAATGATAAGGTTAAACTTGAACCAGTGGAAAAATTATTTGATGATGATCAACTACTTCAAAGAATCAACAATGATATAAACAACTTTTGTCCGATATCTACTTTTTTCAACGATGCTAAAGTCAGACAATTACCAATAGAGGAACAAATATTCCATAAGACAATGTTAAAGAAATGGGTCATGTTATATAATTCTATGGGCTTTAAAATTAACATTTTACATTATAATGATGCTATACAAAATTTAAAACTTGATCACTTGATTGAAAATAAAATTCTTTTCAATAAGAAACATCAAATCAATGAAAATTATTTAAAATTATTAGCTTATGAATCTAAAGATATTGATGCAGGTCTATATTCGGACTATACAATATTTCCAATGATCTCTAAATCAAACCAATTGGATCAACTAAGGTATAAATGTGAAAACTTCAAAGGTGTTACTAGACTAGATGGATATGAATATCAATTATTCCAATCAGATAAAGATTCATTATCCAAATTATTAAACAATTTCATTGAACAAAAAGATACCAAAATTGAAGAATCTACGAAATTTAATGATCTTTTCGCAGATTATTCATTGAAAACTATGAGTATACTCTTACATTCTAAAAATATTAAATCTTTATCAACTAAAATCCCACAAATCTTGGATAATCATTTAAGATCATACAATTTAATTAATAGATTTGATAAAATCAACATTTTGGATCCATTATCAATATCATCATCACATTATTTTGCAAAATCATCAATCCCATTGTTTCAAACTTTAACTAATTGTGATTCAAAAACATCTAAAAATTTACCACCACCAACAAGACAATTTATGAAAATTTTTAATGAAAAAATCTTGAATGAATTACCCGACCCAATAACTATTGAATCAAGTCCTGAATATATTAATAAAGTTGGGAAATTATTACAAACTTTAATTGATTCATTAAAAATTGATCATGGGAAATGCAAATCAAATTTGAAAGTAATTATAAGTAATAAATTAGAACATAGTGAAACATCATTAAATTTAATTTTCATTCCACATCCTGCTTCAACTTTAGCAGCATTACAAATGAATGAAGGAACTTTAATGAATGGTGAAGATATTGCAAGATTCCAAAATAATGATTTCTTATGGAGAATGTTACTTACAAATTTTGATGAAAATTATTTGAAAAGAGCAATTAAAGAGAAGAGATTAAATTATTTATTTTTCAATTCTGAATTGATTGATGAAAATTCATTATTGGAACAAATTTCAACATTTTTAGGATTTGAATTACAATTAATTGAATCAAATAACCCAGAAAGTATTGTTGAAAAACATGATAATTCAAAATTCTTGGATTTAATTCTTGATGAGAAAAGAACTTTATCAGAAGTTGATTTGATTAAAAAATTAGATCATGTTAAAGATCTAGTTTTAAGGTATAATGAACCAATGCCATTTATTTTAAATGAACGTCAATCTAAAGAAAAATTAGAACAATTTAAGATTAGATTTAAAAAATTTAAAATTTAAAGGATCTGTAAAAGATCCAAAAATCATTCATGGAATTCAAAAATTTGAACAACGTCATGATCCAATCTTGGAAATTTCTGAAAATTTTAATAAATTTGATTCAAATCTTTGGCATTTAATTTCAAATGTTAGATTTATTACAAAATCTCAATATAAATTGATGAAAAATATCATATGATCACTATACAACACCTTCTCAATTCTATAAAATTCAAATCATTTATCAAGTGAATGGAAATTTAACAATTTCTAGGAATAGGTACTTTTAAGCAAAAGATTAAAATCAAAGAAAATCAGATTATTTTATGCATATTGACGGAAAATTCAATGGACTAGGGATGATCAAAAAGTTAAACCACATATATATGATAATGACATGACAAAATTAGCATTAATATAAATCATAATATTAATTTGTAGTTTCTTTAGATTGATCAGTTTTTCCATTATTCATAATTGTTGATTGATTATCAGATTGTGGTTTAAGATTTGTAATTGCATTATCAATAAGTTCTGCAGATTTAACAAGTTCATTTCTGGTATGTGTTAAATAAGTTTCTTTAGAATTCATCCATTCTTCTTGTTTACCAAGTCTATTGAAATATCAGTATGCTTGAACATGATTTGAAATTGATTAAAGTTATTACATACCTTTTTGCAACTTTTTCACTATCTAGAACATATGTAGATTCTTGCCAAATGAGAAATTCCTGTTTAGTAGTTGGTTTGTTAGTACGTACTCACATTAGGTTGAAAATAGATAAGTGGTATAATCGAACTTTATTAAATTCATCAAACTCTTTACTAATTGATTCCATTTCTTTTGAATAATCATTAAAGATTTTTTCAGAAACATCAACAATGTTTTTCCAATCAAATTTCTTATCATTAATACCATTTGTTTGTTCACCAATGAAATTATCTAATTCATCATCTTTTAATTGAGTTGAATCAACAATTTCTTTCATTAATTTAATTAATTCATTAGATTTATTATTAATAACTTCATCAAATTTAACATCAATATCTGATCTAGCCTGACCTTTATCACCACCATCGATACTATTCCCAGCAGTAGCAGCTCTATGAATGATTGGACTTGTAATTGGACTATCATGATCTCTATCAGCGCTAACCGCTGTGATCATACTATTGTTATGATCTGACGCGGTACCTGGTTGTTCAGGCTCAGATTGGTGAGCATCCGCACCTGGTTTCCCACTGATTGGCTCCATTATCAACTAATCCTCAATTAAATCTACCAAATGATAATATGAAGACTCTAATGATCAATCAGGAATCAAAACAAGTTTAAATGTTTTGAAATCTTTTTGTTTATATGCCAAAATAGTGTGGCTTTACCAATGGTTACACACCACTGGTGTTTAATAATTTTTATAAGTTCAATATACACAGTCAGAATTATTTGAAAAGACATAATTGATGATAGATATCAAAAGGTTACAAAATATTCAAATAAAGCTTCATAAAATGATTGATAATCCAACAAAACAACCTCGTTTCGAAGGTAAACATATAAGGCATGCACCATCAAAACAGTTCAAATATTCCGATTTGGAAACTTCAGTACATATAAAATCTTCAACTCCATATATATCAGCTATAAAAAGAATAAATAAATTATTAAATAAACTACCCAAATCTCAACCAAAATTTAAAGAAATTACAGTCTTGGGAATGGGTGCAACTATAGAGAAAACTTTAAGTATAGGTGTTTATTTTCAAAAAGATCAAGGTTTAAAAGTTGATATTTTAACTAAATCAGTTGATGTATTGGATGAATTTGATGATGAAGATTTAGATCATGATACAATTTATAAAAAGAGAAAAGTTACCGCTGTGGAATTACGAATTCATAAAGAAGAAGAGGAATAATATGGATGTAGAATATATTTTTGGAATAAATATTACTTTAAATATACTTGTTTTTATAAATATATAAAGTTATTAATGCATTTTAGTCATGAAAAGATTTATGTGGAGTCATTAGAATTTGATCATTATTGTTTGTCATATGTAGATATTGATGTTATATATATCATTATTGAACAGTTTCAATTTTCTTAGAACATGAAGATTTTAAATATTCTAATTCATCAATTTCATTTTTAATTTTTTTATGATTTAAATCTTTAAATAATTCAAGAGCAAATTTTGTTGTTTCTAAACATTTAACATAATCTCTCTTGAAGTATAATCTTTCAGTTAATGATTCTAATTTAGCACGATCACTTTTAATATTTGGATCAATTTTCGATACATCAAGTTCTTCTAACCAAGTTTTAGTATTTAACATAGGACCTTCCATATGAAATTGTTGTTTTTGAGAGCCATATTCTGCATCAGTTTGACCTTTTCTAATTTTAGTTCTACCTGAACCTTTTTTAACCATTATTTCACCATTTTGAGGTTGTAACTTTATATCTGTTGGTTTATTAATTGTGATTTCTGATAATTGATTTACCAGGCTTTGGTGTACAGTTTCCATCATTTTGATTATTGACCTTTTGTACATAAACAAACAAATCAAAGTGGCGTATAGATTTAACTTTACATAAAAATCAAAATCAAAACAATCTCGATCGATTCAATTCTGACTTTTTCTTTATTTTAGTATGTGAAATTTTAAATTTTTTTATTTTTGTTTCGCAACTAAAAAATTTATAATGAGGGGTGTGCACATTTCAATTGATCATTTGTATGGGGATTTTAAGTAAAATTGATGCGTTTTGGTAAACTTTACACTAAAAATAAGTTTCAAGTGATGGTATTTTGCTAACAAAGAAGAAATTAAATATTCTTGTTTGGGATGGAAATTCGATATATTTGCTTTATTATATAATGTTGATATATAGTATACTCTATATATGACTTTATTAAGCTGAATAATTTGGATAATCAGTATAACCAGCTTCACCACTAGTATAGAAAGTTGAACGATCATACTTGGTCAAAGGATACCCATTCTTCAATCTTTCCACTAAATCAGGATTTGAAACAAAATGTCTTCCCACTGCAATCAATGTTCTATCATCATGATCAACATCTTTTTTTAATCTTTCAATCTCTTGAATATAATTACCTGCTCTAACAATTGGTCCTTTCCAAATATCATAAATGAATTCATTACCATGAGTATCTTTTGTAACACCAGAATCTTCATTAACCCTACCCCCATCGATTTTTGGCTCAACAAGATCAATAAATTGAATACCTTTACCATCTAATCTTCTTTTTTCTAACTCACCAACAATATGTGCATATTGTGCTAACAATTCAGGATCTTTTTGAATACCTTTAAAATCACCATATTGTGACCATGGTGATAATCTCACAGAAATTTTTTCAGCACCAATAGCTTCAGATAATCCATCAACAATTTCCAAGACAAATCTTGATCTGTTTTCTAAAGAACCACCATATTTATCTGTTCTTTTATTGGTTAGATGATCCAAGAATTCATTTAACAAGTATCCATTAGCAGCATGGATTTGAACACCATCAGCACCCGCTTTAATACTGTTTATACCACCTTGAACAAAATTTTTAACTTCCTCTTCAACTTCTTCAGTTGTATATTCAGTTAATGGAGTATTTAACTCTTTAGCTTTTTCTTCATAAGGATATGAACCATCATCAATATAAATTCCTGAAGTTGGAGCTCTATAAGTAATCCCCTTTTCAAAAACTTTCTCAGGAATAGCTTGTCTACCTAAATGAAATAATTGTTGAACAACAAACGAGCCATTTGAATGAATTTTATCAAAAATTTTGGACCATGCATTGATTTGTTCCTGGTTCCAAATCCCTGGTTTACCATCATAATACCCACCAGCTTCATATGAGTAAAGTGCAGCTTCTGTGATGATTAAACTTCCCGGTGTTTTAGATCTCTGATCATAATACTTAGAACTCAATTCAACATTTAGGACGAAGGTAACAAAATCAGCTCTTAATCTTGTTAATGGTGCTAACACTAAACGGTGTTGCAATTCCAAATCTCCTAATTTAAATGGTTTAAAAAGATTTGTATCTTTTAATGGTACAGGCTTGATTTTATTATCAAATTCAGGACTTGTCATGATTCTTATTGTTTTGTTGGTATAATAATACACCTAGTATTAACCTTGAACTTGAATCGCTAGAAGAGGAACATGCCCACAATTTATAGTTATTTGGAGTGATATAATATCAACTTTCAACTTTCAGCCTCACATTTTTTAATATTCAATTATTTGTTGATTAGTAAAGGCGGAATTCTGTTCATGTATCATGTATCTTATTGCTGGTAATTTGAACATTTGAACTTCTAAAATCCGTTTTGTACATTTTTCTTGATCGAACGGGATTCCGTTGATGTATAGCTTACAAATCAAATTGTGTGTATATGATTTATATTATACAATAGATTGAGTAAGATCTAGCTGGTGATTAATTCATAATTTCAATTCAATTGAATCTTTAATAACAACTTGATATCCTGGTTCAAAATAACATAGCTGACAATCTTCATCTGGAATACCATTTTCATGTATAAGAACACCAAAATCTAATGAATCAATTAATGAAACCATTGGTGAATGCCATGTTCCTTCAATATGTTAGTAATGCCCTATAATCCAATGCCCTTTAATCCAAAAAAAAAAGATTTATTTACTCACCAGCATCATATGTAACAGCTTGATTGCCTTTTGCAATGAATGCAACTAAAGAATCTGGATCCGGTAATGAATCATCTATAATAATTAGTACATTGACCTCGTATTAATTGATCAGAAAAACCATTATACATACCTGGTTTAGATTTTGCACATATCACAATATAAGCATTTGAATCTTTGGAAATACCCATTGGTAAGAAAGTTTGTGTACTAAAAGGATGTCTCTCTAAAATTTTTGAAAGATAAACTATTTCATCATCTTCATTTTTAGAAAATGAATGAGTTGGTGGTGAACATCTGAAAATATTCCAATTTGCTGTTGCAAGATTCTTTGATGGTGCTAGCTTTGAATTGTTTGTGATTTTAGCTACTTTATGAGCTTTTATAGTTGTGCCATTATTTGCATTTGATTGAATTTGATGATCCGAGGAAATCATTGTACCATAATCTTTGAATGATTCTGGTGTTAGTGGCTTCGTTACCACACTTGGTTTACCTTCTGTGTTAAAAGTATTAAGTACCATCTCCTGTTTCAGTCCTTCCACTTTGATTATACTCAGAAATTCAAGAAAATATGGTTTCATTTTGTTCAAGATTATGTTGCATTTATATAACTATATAACCAGACCGGATATATAAGTGACCTGGTAAATTATTCATATAACCGGCGGCAACCCTGGCTATAGCTGGCAAACCCATTTATGACCAGTATACCAGTTACTAACTCAATATCTATATAGCCGGAGCATCAGTATCTCAATATTTATGTCTGAGACTGGGGCTACTTATATACAACTGATTGAGTTATTCAGCTCAGTCGAAACATTTGAAAAAGCCCATGGTAGGCTCAGCAGCTATACTTTATAAAATGAGTGAAATGTATAATACCAAAGGACTTATAGTGCTTACAAGTACAGATGGTAGCATAATTGACTTACTATATTCTATACAATATATCAGACTGTGTAGTTTGGATAATCAGCATACCCTTTCTCACCACCACTATAGAAAGTTGAACGATCATATTTGGTCAAAGGATACCCCTTCTTCAATCTCTCCACTAAATCGGGATTTGAAACAAAATGTCTTCCTACTGCAATCAATGTTCTATCATTATGATTAACATCTCTTTGTAATCTTTCAATCTCTTGAATATAATTACCTGCTCTAATAATCGGTCCTTTCCAAATATCATAAATGAATTCATTACCTTGACTATTTGTTGAATCATAGTCTTCATTAACATCAATCCCATTTACTCTTGGCTCTATAAGATCAATGAATTGAATACCTTTACCATCTAATCTTCTCTTCTCTAACTCGCCAACAATATGTGCATACTGTGCTAATAATTCAGGATCTTTTTGAATACCTTTAAGATCCCCATATTGTGACCAAGGTGAAAATCTCACAGAGACCTTCTCAGCTCCAATGGATTCAGATAATCCATCAACAAGTTTTAGAATAAATCTTGATCTGTTTTCTAAAGAACCACCATATTTATCCGTTCTTTTATTGGTTAGATGGTCTAAGAATTGATTTAACAAATATCCATTAGCAGCATGGACTTGAACACCATCTGCACCTGCTTTAATACTATTAATACCACTTTGGATAAAAGTTTTAACTTCCTCTTCGACTTCTTCAGTTGTGAACTCGGTCAATGGAGTATTAAACTCTTTAGCTTTTTCTTCAAAAGGATATGAACCATCATTAGGGTATATCCCTGAAGTTGGGGCTCTATAAATAATCCCTTGTTCAGAAACTTTATCAGGAATAGCTTGTCTACCTAAGTGAAATAATTGTTGAACAACGAAAGAACCATTTGAATGAATTTTATCGAAAAGTTTTGACCATGATTCGATTTGTTCTTGATTCCAAATTCCTGGTTTACCATCAAAATACCCACCAGCTGAATGAGAGTATAAAGTAGCTTCTGCAATGACTAAACTTCCTGGTGTTTTAGATCTTTGATCATAATATTCAGAACTCAATTCAATAGGTTGAACAAACTTAACAGGATCAGCTCTCAATCTAGTTAATGGTGCTAACACAAGTCGATGTTGTAACTTTAAATTTCCTAATTTGATTGGTTTGAAAAGATTTGTATCTTTCAATGATACAGGTTTGATTTTATCATCAAATTCAGGTCTCGTCATGATTCTTATTGTTTCGTGAATGAATTAGTATCATTTTATCTCTTGAATTTTGTATAAGAAAGGGGAATAAGGGTCCCAATTTATAGTTTTAAGTGATATCTTGACTATTTTATTTTCATTACTAATTGATGTTTATAATTTCCTGCCTCACTTTTTTATTCATTTAAATATTTGCTTAGTAAACACAGAATTTTTAGTTCATACAATATTTGAACATGAATAAGAACATTGGTCTGAGTGTATATAATTACGTTGGTATACAATGAACTCAATATCATGGAAAAATAGGAAACGCTATGTTTATTTAGGTGAAGATATATTCCAAAAAATATAGAAATTACGTCAATATGTAAGTTCAATTAATCACTTTTATGGATAGAGACATGCATCAAGTATCTAAAATAACCCAATAAAGAGTAAATTTGATCTATCTGGCAAATAAATGAACTTAGTGAAGTTAAAATGCTTTCTAAACAGTTTGATTAACAAATTATTATGCAAGTCGAATTTATAATTTTGATTTAATTGAATCTTTAATAACAACCTGGTATCCTGGTTCAAAATAACATTCTTGACAATCTTCATCTGCAATACCATTTTCATGTATAAGAACGCCAAAATCCAATGAATCAATCAATGAAACCATTGGTGCATGCCATGTTCCTTTACAATGTTAGTAAATGCCCTATAATCCAAAATCTTATCAAAAAGAGAAACAAATCTACTCACCAGCACCATATGTAACAGCTTGATTACCTTTGCAAATGAATGCAACTAAAGAATCTGGATCCGGTAATGAATCATCTAAATCATTAGTATCATTAGTATCTCATCTTAAATCATCAAAAACAAACCATTACACATACCTGGTTTAGATTTTGCACATATCACAATGTAAGCATTTAAATCTTTGGAAGCACCCATTGGCAAGAAAGTTTGTGTACTAAAAGGATGTCTTTCTAAAACTTTTGAACGATAAACTATATCCTGGTCTTCATTTTTAGAAAATAAATGAGTCGGTGGTGAACATCTAAAAATATTCCAATTTGCTCTTGCAATATTTTTGGATGGTGCTAAATTTGAATTATTTTCAATTTTGGATACTTTATGAACTTTTATAGCTGTACCATAATTTGCACTTGATTGTTCAACTGATCCAATTTGATGGTCCGCCGAAATGATTGTACCATAATCTTTGAATGCTTCTGGTGTTAATGGCTTTGTTACCACACTTGGCTTGCCTTTTGTGTTATAAGTCTTGAGCACCATTCTCCTATTTGATATATTTGATTCATTCAATGACTTCAGAAAGAAAACATGATTTGATTTTGTTCAAGTTTATAATTTTCCATTTCAAAAGTTATCTTATAAATGGTCAAATCCGCCTTTCCAATTTTCGATATGGAGATAACAATTTCAATTTCGACCTCTTTTAAAAGTTCGCGAAGGTCGGAATATGGAGTTAATTACTCCGATTAAATTTATATAATACCCATCAATATTTGCTATTTTAATTAGTTATATAAACTCAATTCATACCATAAATTAATTCAAGATTCATATTGGAATATATTTTATAATCAATTTATTGATTTATTATCTCATAACTTTCAAACCTTATACAACACAATCAATATCAAATAATATGAGTTGGTTTCAAAAAAAAATTTCATTAAAACCAAGATCAAGAGGTGCTTATTTAATTGATGATGAAATTAATAGTGCTTTACCAGAATTAAGAAATTATAAAATTGGTGTATTACACTTGTTCTTACAACATACTTCTGCTGGATTATCATTAAATGAAAATTGGGATTCTGACGTTAGAAAAGATATGACAACTGCATTAAATGAATTATTACCTGATGATGTAAGTACAATGGATTAGATCAGCTGCTGCTTTAATTTGAACAACTTACTAACGTATTTCAATAGACTGATGGTACTCATTATTTACATTCTAGTGCAGGTGAAGGTCCAGATGATATGGTTGGACATGTCAAATCAAGTTGTAAGTACCATTCAAATCTTGTATCACCTATAATGATTCTAAACTAACTTTTTTTGAAATAGTGGTTGGTGTTTCTTTGTCAATTCCAATTACAAATGGTCGTTTAGCTACAGGTACATGGCAAGGTATTTATTTATTAGAATTTAGAGATTATAAACATACAAGAAATGTTGTTGCTACAATTAATGGTCAAACAAATTAAAATGTTTTATAATTTAAATAAATTTTAACATGACATTTATTTATACAATTTTTGTTTTTTTACATTCTTCATTCTTTCAATAACTGTGTTGTATTTTGACAAGTGATTGGATTTAAATATCAAATTCATCCTCTTCTGAATGTGTAAAGAAATAATTGAATATTAGAACAGATCCATAAATTAAAGTATTACCACTGATTGTGAATACAAATGGGTAATATGAAAATATAGCTGTATGATATGACACGATTGGTACACCTTTATTAATTGTTAGTATTCCATATTGGGGAAACCACTATGCCCTTTGCATATGATTGATGATAATATATACTTACCTAACGCTGTCACTAGCAAAAAAGCTGATAAATATTTCCCTAAATCAACAATATTTCTATCTCTTGTTAGTTTTTCTGTTATTATATCGAATGATATGTAATTAGTTTACTAAACTCACGTTGCATTTTCACTCATAAAATCATCACTTGACCATTTATTGCAGATAAAGATGGGTAGATGGGCAACTAAGGCTATCACAGCTGTTATTTAAATATGTCAGTACTAAAATTCTAGCTCATAATCACAATACCAAAAACAAATGGTATTTTAAATTACTCACATGTCAATATTGGTAACCATTTATTACGATTGAATGCTGATGATAACATCACAAGTAAGAACCCAATTGCTAATACACTTGATAACACAATGATTCTAGCCAAAGGACTATCTGTGAACTTCAACATTATACTCTTTATTCCTCGATACAACAAAAGACTTTTCTATTCAAACAAGACCAGCTTGACTAAACTTACCACCAACTTTAGATCCTTTCAATACTTTGAACTTGTCCCTTATTAAATTAACCACATTCAACAATCATTTCGCGGGTTTTCCGTTGCGGGCAGATCTCAGAAAAACCGAAATCTTCAAATCGATTTTGAGAGTGGCAATAAGCATTGATTTGAACGAAACCAAAACAATTTACAATCAACTTCAACGACATTTTCAAGAAGAAGATCAGTTCAAAATGGTATGTTTGGGGTGAATACTGTGTCTTATTATGTTATATTATCAGGTTTTACTAACCAATTGGCTATAGTTTAGAAACAATTACGATGGTGATACTGTCACCTACTCTCCAACAGGTAGAATATTTCAAGTATGTTTTATTATGTTTTTTTGAATTTGAATGAATATTGGGATCAATTGCTAACAATCATCTATTTCATTAGGTTGAATATGCCTTAGAAGCTATAAAACAAGGGAGTGCTGTTGTGGGACTTGCCACAAAAGAACATGCCGTTTTGGTGGCACTAAAAGTATGTATTAATCAAGATCTTTATCAATAGTGTGAAGACAAAGTGTATTAACAATGTCAAAAATAGAGAAATGCTGAAGAATTAGGATCATATCAAAAGAAAATAATTAAAGTTGATGAAAATTTAGGTATTGCATTAGCTGGTTTAGCTCCAGATGCAAGAGTTTTATCAAATTTCTTACGTGAACAAGCCATGTCTCAAAGAATGATATATAATAGAGCATTATCAGTAGAAAAAGCTTCAAATTTATTGGCTGATAAAGCACAAAAGAATACACAAAGTTATGGTGGTAGACCATATGGTGTTGGTTTATTAGTTGTTGGTTATGATGAAACAGGTGCACATTTATTTGAATTTCAACCTTCAGGTTCTGTACTTGAATACGTTGGTGCTGCAATTGGTGCAAGATCACAAGCTGGTAGAACTTATTTAGAACGTAATTTTGAAAGTTATGCAAATGCTACTAAAGAAGAATTAATTGTTCATGGTTTAAATGCTCTTAGAGATACTTTATCACAAGATAAAGAATTAAATAGTAAAAACACTTCAATTGCCATCGTTGGTAAAGATACAGATTTCACATTATGGGATGATGATGATGTTCAACCATGGTTAAATAAATTAGATTCAACATCAAATGCTAGAACCTCAGGAGGTAATAATGGTGGTGATGATGATAATGATGACGATGATAACAATAATGATGAAAGTGGTGATAAATCAGAAACTAAACCTGAAGAAGAAAACAGTGAGGATAAAATGGAAACTGATTAATTGAAAATGTCTTCTAGTACCTTATATTAGAAATAACAAAATACACAGTGTAAATTATTTTTATTTTGATAAAAACACACCATTAATCAAGTAGTATTTTATAACTAGTTCTAGGGCAATTTGAATCGATCCTTGCCTAAAAATTCCAAAGTAAATCCTCTTATTTTTTATTCTTGATACAGATCATCTGAGATTTTTAGCCGTTGAATTTACGGCTGCATTAAGGTGAATAAACTCTAATTTATGCCTGAAATTATTTGCTCGTAATGAGCAAATTTCCTTGAAATTGGAAGGATAATAATAACATTTCGATACAATAATAGTAAAAAATCTTGGATAATGAATATTATAAATTAATGACAAAATCGCTCATGATGTACATGCAACCGTTCCATTGTAGATGTACATTATCAATTGAAGATCAATTTACATTTTCAAAATGGTTTATTTCAACAATGATGGGGCAAATTATAATATTGAAGATGCTTTCAATGCTGTTTCTAAAATGAGTATGGGTGGTATGGGTGGAGACTCTACTACTTCAGCTAAAGCTGCTTGTAAAATATCTGTAAGTATTTAAACAAATCAGATTAATCTTGAAGTATTATATCTAACAATCTATAAAAGATGATGTGGAATTGGTATACTATTGATTCATGTTTCATTGCAAAAACATGGCATGTTCATACAAGAGGACAATTTGCTGGCTCTTGTATCGGTGTGTTTTTGTTGGTCTTGTCTGCTCAATGGTTACATAGAGTTGCTCGTGAATATGATGCAGCAATTGCAAGAAGAAAAGCACTACAATTTTCGTCAGCAGCTTCTAGTGACTCTTCTGTTGATAACGTTGAAAAGAATCAAACTATAACTAGTGAAACCTATAAACCATCTTCAGATGCTTTAGCATTTTTCCCAGAAAACACTGCATTTAGTAACTTCATTCAGCCAGTTTTATATACATTAAGTCATAATTGGTTCTGGGATTATAGAAAAGGATCAACTTTTGGTTCTGTTTATCCATCATTGGTTGAACATCTTGTAAAAAGTATAATTTTCACAATTCAATGGGGTCAATCTTATATTATTATGTTGTTATTCATGTACTATAATGGGTATATTATCATATCTTGTCTTTTAGGTGCATTATTTGGAAGATTAATTTTCAACTATGAGCCTATAACATGCACTACAAGATCTGATAGTGAACAGAATGATAGAAAATGTTGCATGTAAACTTCAGGTTTCAAATGAATTCGAGATCAATCACCTATATAACATAATTCTGAATAATATATGAAAACTTAATTTAATTAATTAAGCTATCATGAGTAGAAATTAACAATTTGTAACTCTCATCATTTCCTTTTAGCACTGTTACATTATAGATCCAAATATCCTTGAAAGGTACTCTTGAAAGTGGTTTATAATCTGTTATCAAACAATACTTCTCCCGTACTTAAGAAGGTTTTATAAGTGATAAAGTTGTGCAAAAGTGCCATGATAAGGCTAATTGTATTATTAATATATTACTAATCAAGTTTCAAAACAATTAAACCAACTTTTTTAGCTCAAGAACCTTTTTGACCAGTACGAAACAGCTATATTGTATATAAAATGAGGTGAATATTTTATGAATCAACAAAAATGATTGAAATTCAGCATATTTGTTTTACAAGTTTTTAACATTTTTGAATTTATGGATGTTATAAATTTTAATTTTACTTTAAAACAAAAAGTATTGAAAAATCCAAATTTTTTTTTTGCTTAGTTTTCGACTTTGAAGAACACTTTCATAATAAATAGCTTCAAGTAATACTCATAGTACTATAAACATGTATCTTAATTGTTATTATGAAGTTGTTTTTTTAAATTCAAGTTTTGGTTGAAGATTATCGGTAAGGGACACATCATGATATATACTGTTGAAACTAATTTATGCATCAAGATGCGAGTGAACGTTTTTACGAGTCTTGTAGTAATTGAATTTCCATGTAAGAAATTTTATTTAATTCAGTGATCATCTTTGGTAGCGTAGAGAATATATTTGTAGATATATGGCAAGCTTTAAATTATTAATCTACACATCTATATATACAGATTATGTATTTTGAAATTAATGTTCAAAAGAAATCAGCTACAGGTATAAATTAATTTAAATTTTAAGAATATAGTGTGTATAAAAAACTTGTAGTAAATATAGAAAGATAATCAATATATATATAATTGACAATAATGAGACACCTTAAAGCAACACAGGTGAATCAAACTTAAACGTTCATAGAAAAGAGGAAATCAATAGAGCAGCAAATGGATTTCAAATATATAAAATAAAAAGATTGTCCAAAATATCAAAATCCATTTAATGATAGCTTACTCAAAATACTTAATAGTTTGGAGAACCATTT